ACCTTACAAAAAAATGTAGTTAAATGTACAATAGTAAGCACAAAAGAAAGCCATTAATTAATCAACTCATTTTGAGCAGCTAATCATAAGGCTTACATACTACTGATCAACTAGATACTGTTAAGTAGAAAAAGATGTTTCTGATATAATGGACATGTAGAAAAATCCTGTAAGTGTATTATATTGAGGGTTTACTGAATTACATCACACAGTTTTGTCACATGGAAAACCCTTAAATTAACAAAATTCATTTCCCCCTCATTTAATGTTATACTAAAATGTGATAGATTTCCCATTGTGAAGTTGAATATTAAAATTTTAATACATTCCATAATACCTATATTATTACTCTTTTAATACTTAATAATATATTATTCTTTTGACTTGATTGATTGCACATTTGAGTGAGACATCTCTGTCTGGCAGAAGCATAGTTGAAGAATTAGACATACAGACGTTTTGCCATCCAGTGGCTTTATCAGTACAAATTCAAGGACATATTAATTGGAAGACAGTAGAACTATGCAAAAGATGAGGTAATCAGTCTCTCAGCCTTGAGTTAGTGAAGAGTACTGTAGTTGTGAAGAGTCTGGAGCACAGGCATGAAGATTGGCATTTATATACTGTTGTCAGATGTTGCACATGTGTAATTCTTCAACTTGTCGGTATTATATACCTTACATGTACTACAGAAGCATACGTAGCTGTTCCTGAAAATACCATGGTTATAACCATGTTATCTTACGTGGTTATGGTTTCTTAATTTTTTTGTACATAAATTACAAAATATATATCCTAGAAACAAATAATTTTATACTTGTGTAAAACATTTATGAAGTAGGCCAGTTGAGCATCCCGTAATTGTTTTGTACTGTATTTGCAAAGATTATTTCATTTACACTGTAGCTCACTTTTATATGTAAAAACTTCATCAGTATAATGATTGACTGTACTCAATAACAAGTTTTAATTGAGTATTTAAAAAGTGCATATATTTTGTGGTACAGCTCACCGGTCAGGCATTTGACTTTTTTGCTCAAGATTTCACCAGTCATTGTCACATTGTATTGTGTTGGTTCACAAAAAATAACTAATGAAAGCTTTACCTGTGAATGCTTTTGTTTTTCTATTGTTGTAACCAGGCTTTCCCTGATACCTACTTCTATGAAAGAAGTCAGTGTTTAGTTCTCTATTAAAAAAAAAAACATGTACTGTACATAGGTACTTCACCCCTTCACCTCAGAATTGAAAGTGCTCACAGTGTTGACAGTTTTCAAAAGAAAATTTTTTCTTCCTAATGGTAGAGAATCTTTTTGTGAAGGCATTTACAACAAAAATACGAAATTTGATGGAAAATTTACAGAGTTACGCAAACGCCAAGTTAACAGACAGGTGCAATTTATGCATCGGCAGTTTCGCTCACTTTGAGTTCTATTTTAAGCCAATTCCATTGCTCAGTTTGACCAAATTCTCAGATGATGAGAACATTCAAAACTAGGGATGCCAAGCCCATGATGATTCTCTTCAAATCACTTATTCCGTCTACGCTTGAATATTGCTGTACACTAATGTCCCTTTTCAAGACAGGTGAAATTATAGACCTGGAGAATGTAGAGAGAACTTTCACAGTATGCATAAGTACAATAAAGCACCTAAATTACTGGGAATGGTTGAAGTCCCTTGACCTGTACCCCTTGGAATGCAGGCAAGAAAGATGCATAATTACATGTATATACACTTGGAAAATCCTTGAGGAACTAGTACCAAATCTGCACATGGAAATCACTCCCTACAAAAGCAAAAGACTGAGAGAGAGATGCAACATCCCCCTAGTTGAAAAGCAGGGGCACCACAAGTACACTAAGAGAACACAATAAGTGTCAGGGGCCCAAGACTGTTAAACTCCCTCCCAGCATACATAAGGGGGGATTACCAATAAACCCCTGACTGTTTTCAAAAGGGCACTTAGGACAGACACCTAAAATCAGTACCAGCCGGGCTGTGGTTCATACATCTGTTTGCATTCAGCCAGCAGTAACAGCCAGGTTGATCAGGCCCTGATCCACTTCGAGGCCTGGTCACAGACTAGGCCATGGGGGGCATTGACCTCCAAAACCCTCTCCAGGTATACTCCAGGTAGTATGACTCCTCTTCAATAGAACGGGTACCTATCTCTACTGTTTTGCTTGTCGAATACTTTTGTGTGACTTATTTCTAAATCTGTATACAAAGTACCTTAATTCTGATGTTACAGTCATAATGTCAGCATTTTTCTAATCTTCCAGTGACTGCAAAGTGTATATGTTGTAGTCTAGATGTTGCAAGGAGTTCCATGTTTTGTAAATACTATTATGATTCATTGTTCTTGTCAGTCTTTTATTAATATTATTATTATCATCTCGGTTTATCATGAGATAAACTGAGATGATTTATGACAAAATATTTCTGACCACTCTTAGTAAATTGATGAAAGAATTATATTATCTAATATATTTTCTCTATAATTGTACAGCACTTGTGTAATTTGAATAGCATGATGAAAATGCTCCATATTTAAAATGCTTATTTTTTTTTTTTTTTTTAACAAGAAACTTGTTTTCTCATAACTTGAAAGGTTAAATGTTATTATACACCAATACAAGCGTTATACCAAATTGTTGTTACTCAGGACCTCAAAATGCCATAAATTGTAAACTAATTTGTTTCAATATATAAAATGTCAAATATTGCAAACCTGTTCTAGCAAACTAACCTAATTGCAAAACTATCTGATCATTATAAGTTAATATTAAGGCTGCCTGAAATGCTCTGTATAACATGAGGCATTCTCTAAAGTAGATGAAACATGTTTATTAATCCTGTGTAATATACTTTATAAAGTTGTTCGTCTGTTTGATATCAGTAACTCTCTAAGCTGGTGTTTAGTACATCCACTGTAGTTATAAATCCTTTCATCTAAATTAAAATTAACAGTATTTTATTTTCCAAACTTTGTTTAACTTTTTAGATATACAGTATACAAAATCTCTAAATAATGTTCATAGTTATTAATACTGTAGTTTAAGTATAAAAGACAGGATTGGAATTTCAGTTCCATAGTGATAGTGTAATTAATATAAAATCTTTTACCTTTTGCTAATATCATATGGTATATATAATGGAATGAAAGGCAAGATGATTATTGTAGTGTGTTGCCAGGTGGTGTAGAGATAGAACCTTGTTCATGATGAGGTGAAGGTGTGTGTTGTGACTTGCTGCTTTGTTGCTTCTCTAACCCACGCTTTGACCTTCACTCGCATCTCCAAGGACTAGGGGCTATTGACACCAAATATTTTTTTTTTATATATATATTCTGAAAAGATATGAAGGTATATGATCTTATCAAAAGGTTTCTTTATATACAATATTGGAAATTTAATGAAATATGAACACTAGTTTGGCAGGGGATTAAAATAACCTCATTATTGATTAATATATACACTCATTTTTTTCCCTAAGTGTGCCAGTAATAAAAGTGATTCTGGTCATCTTTTTAATACAATAGTTGGTGTAGATTTGTTACCATTAATGGCAGCTTTCATTACTTGGTCACAACACCCAAGTCATGTATAATAATGATGATGATAATCTTATTTCTACAAGTACATGCACAAGATGTACAGTCCTAGCTGACATCAATGACATACAGTGGAACCTCAAATATCGAACTTTCTTCGGTCCAGAAGGCTGTTTGAGTGCCTTTACCGAATGAATTTATTCCCATCAGGAATAATGTAAATTAGATTAGTCCATTTCAGACCCTCAAAAATACACTTATAAAAGCACTTACAAAAATACACTTACATAATTGGTCGTGTTGGGAGCAGTTTGATTTTTGAGGTTCCACTGTACTACTACTACTACATAGAAAGCCCCTTGTTATGCAAAGCATTTCAGGCAAATTAGGTTAATTTTGTCCCCAGGATGCAACCCACACCAGTCGACTAACACCCAGGTACCTATTTCACTGACAGGTGAACAGGGACAACAGGTGTCTTAAGAAAACATGTCCTAATGTTTCCACTCATACCGTAGATCAAACCTCAGACCTCAGTGTGAGCTGAGTGCACTAGCAAACTAGGTACGGGACACCTGCTATTATAATATTGTATATTAAAAATTATTTCTATCATCAGTTGAATGATAGAAATATATGCAGTATATGTATATATATTGTACTGGATACATGACCAAAAGCTCCTATGACTGAGACCCACGTCAGGAAACACTCATTTTGTTTCCTGATGAATCTTGCCTAACCTAACCAGTATATATGGTATATACACATTACCTGTACTACTTGTAAAAAGAAGTTGTAACTATCTTTAGAGTGGCTTGAAGAATGTCTTGTTTACTTGTCGAGTTCTCTGTATGCTAGTTGTTCGTCTATTAAGAAGCTTGTAGGTAATGCCTTACACCACCAGATAGTACTATAACTGTAGATTCATAACAAGGTAATATTTGTAAATTTGATTTAGATGAAAATGTTATTTTTATGATTTATCATGATATTGTTACTGATGTTTCCTGTGAATCTAGTGGCCTAGAGTACTTACATCACTTACAGCCTTGAGTTGCTGCATAGTTGTGGGATGTTCTTGAAAAACCTGTTCCTCAAACCCCCTGCATATCCTGCTCTTGCTTCTTATCTGCACCTTGTCACACCTGCCACCCTGCTACCCATTGAGGTAGTTTGGGCATTTAGAGGGGGCAGAGCATAAGACAGTGACCAAGATGGTACATTAATCCAGGAAGAAAGGGTATTAGTAGTCCCAGGAAGGGTTGGGAGGAGGGTGGAAAAGAGGTTTTAATTGGTAGGGGCTCCATCACCTTTTTTCCATGCCACTAGACATATGTCCATTACATAAACTTTAATAATAATAATAATAATATAATTTGGAATTTGTCATTCTTGAGTGCTTTTTACTTAATGTTTTCTCATAAGTTAATTTTTTCCTTAGGCTCCAGAGCGTCTGACAACAGGCCTAGGATGTCCACTTTCCGACAGGCTCAACTCCTTGACTGTTGGGCCACGAGGACCCATACTACTTCAAGACTTGCAACTGATCGATGAAATGGCCCACTTTGATCGAGAACGCATCCCAGAGAGGGTAGTGCATGCCAAGGGTGCCGGTGAGTGCCCTTTCCTGACTACTGTGCTCATGTCCAATACTGGTAGTAAACAAATGAATTGTTTACTCCAGTAATTAGCACTTTTAATTAAGTACAAGTTTCTCTTTGTGGTTTTGCTTTGTGAGAATTCTCTTTTATGTGGTGACTACATTTTTTTTTTTTCAACGAGTCGGCCGTCTCCCACCGAGGCAGGGTGACTACATATCTAACACTAATTCACCGTTATGCAGCACAAATTCACTCAAGTGTCTTGCATCAAGTGAAAAGGAAATGGACAGTTGGCCATATGAACTTGTACTGTGCCTATTTAAAGCCTGGACTAGAGGTGAAGGGAGGGAGGGACAAAATTGTAGTAGGGAGATACCATATTTTGCAGCTTACTAGATGCATTTTATTTTCTATAAAATTCCTCCAGAAATCACCCTGCATCCTATAAATTGAAGGTCAGTGACGGGAGCTGTAAGTTTGGGGTGTAGGGTGGGCTGTAGCTCTCCCAGTTACATCCGATGCTGAGCCATTGAAACTAAACAAGTCCTGTAAGCCATATCTTATAAGTCACGAAATATGGTATGTGTTCACAAGTTCATAACATGTACACTTTAATCCAGATAGACAGACTGGTTGATTATGATTGAATTCTCTGTTCTGAACTGTAGTTTCTCTCATTTGTTATTCCTCTTTTATTTTTTAACAGTTGCAGTTATTCTTTATTTATATATACATGTATAGCTGTTTGGTGATTTTTGGTAAAAATATTTGCTGATTTAAGGTGAATTTGTTGCAGAGATTTAATAGCTCATGTGTGTGTGAATTTTCACGTGAACTGCCTCCTGGGGTTATCTCTGCTAAAACATTATTTGCTACATTCCACCATTTTAGGTGTCTTAAGTAAAATCGCCCAATTGCAATGGTCATGTGATCATACCATCTAACGGTTATTGGGTATACATGGAATACATATATACTGCACATAGTATAGCTACTACTGACAACTAGTGGGAAGGTATTTACCTATGCCTGCATAGGTTACTGAGGAAAAAATTGGTTAGACATCCTTTAATAAATTGCTGCATTACTTATATGATACTATATTTTTATTCTTCAGGTGCTTTTGGATACTTTGAGGTGACCCATGATATTACCAAGTATACCAAAGCAAAGATATTCAGTGAAATTGGGAAGCGTACACCATTAGGTGTCAGATTTTCGACTGTAGGTGGTGAGAGTGGCTCTGCTGACACTGCCAGGTAAGGACCAACATTCTCCTCTTTTTCTAAAAATTTTGTGTGAAATGGGTATATTCACCTTAGTTTTTTCAGTTAACTTCTCCCATTTGCTTGAAATTCTCTGTATACTAAGTGGCTTTCTGCGTGCACACCTAAATGTCTCCCATCTCTGTACAAACATTGTGCCATGCTGACATAATCTTCAATCTTTAATTCAGAAGCATGTAGACTTTATGGGAGTGACACAGATAGCCCTAACATGAATTATAATTGCAGGAATAATTTTAATAAATGTTTTTTTACAGGGACCCACGTGGGTTTGCAGTAAAGTTCTACACCGAAGATGGAAACTGGGATTTAGTTGGCAACAACACTCCAATCTTCTTCATTCGAGACCCAGTTCTTTTCCCATCCTTCATTCACACACAAAAGAGAAACCCTGTCACTCATCTTAAGGTATAAGCAGTAGGTCAATGAGTTTAAATAAAGGTTCTGTACATATTCAGGCATCTTTGAGCATGACTTTGGGAATTAATTTTTCTTTAATCTGGTGTAAAACTTCAGATATGTTGCAATATTATATCGATAAATAAATATAGTAGAGTTTTATACTCAGTTTCTCTCTATTTTTTAATTCATATGAACTTAGGAGCTAAATTTTTTTTTTTTCATTCACACAGTCAAATCTTTCCAAAAATATGAAACAAACTTCCAGTGCAATATTAACCCTTAAACAGTCCAAACAAATCGATGTTCAAATTCGTAGTGCTACAAAAGTAGATCTACTTTTTTTTACATATTTTTAAATGTAACAAAAAAATGTAGATAAAAGTTTTTTTTACAAGTTTTCAAATGTAAAACAAAAAAGATCTACATTTTTTTACATACTTTCAGATGTTGAAAAAACGTATATATACGTTTGGACCATTTAAGGGTTAATAGCAAAGAATATCACAAATATATTAGGAAGTGAAAAGATATTGTAATATAACAGAGTCATTGTCAGCACAGATAATTAACATTGTAGACAATGTCCCTAAACTTGTAAATACTGTATACGTACAGTGGACCCCCGCATAACGATTACCTCCGAATGCGACCAATTATGTAAGTGTATTTATGTAAGTGAGTTTGTACGTGTATGTTTGGGGGTCTGAAATGGACTAATCTACTTCACAATATTCCTTATGGGAACAAATTCGGTCAGTACTGGCACCTGAACATACTTCTGGAGTGAAAAAATATCGTTAACCGGGGGTCCACTGTATCATGTATATGGTTGAAAAAAAAATATTGTAGAATATGTGGTAAAATATATGACTGGGCATTGATGATTAAATATTTAAAATATTTTAGGATGCAGATATGTTCTGGGATTTCATGACCTTGAGGCCAGAAAGCACACATCAAGCGTCTTTCTTATTTTCTGACCGAGGAACTCCTGCTGGCTACATGTACATGAATGGCTACGGTTCTCACACTTTCAAGTTGGTTAATGCGAAGGGAGAAGCAGTATACTGCAAGTTCCATTACAAGACTGACCAAGGAATTAAGTATGGCTTAAGTTATTGTTACTTGTTATTTTCTGGTTTGTTAATTATATCTTATGTTTTATTCAAGGAAATTACAGATGAATGGCTATACCCTTACCCGTGGTCACAGGCATCTGGGGATCGCTTCTCAAGTGAATATTCTAAAAATATGATATGTTAACTCGGAGAATTAATAAGAGTTGTGTTATCTTTGTAGCATCAGAATTTTGTATCGTTTGGTAATGAATACAGTATTAGGCTTCCTAAGAACTGTTCTGCATAATTCTCTTTGAATTTTACTTTATGATGCATTTCAGATTTTATGGCACTGTATAGACTATATTACATAGAGTAAATTAGAATTAGCCTTACAGTGCATTAATAAAATGGTAGAGGGTGTGGTTTCTCAGGAATATTTTTTTCCACAGCATTCACCACTTGGAAACTGTGCTGTGGTTTTTACATTGTTGAACCTCACAGCGTATTTCTATAAATTATCATGTCCCATATTTTAATTATTTGGGTTGCATCTTTTACCTCTGTTCTTCCACTAGCAATTACTTATTAAAGTAGCTTCTGTTCTTATAGCTTCTTTATATACCTATGAATTTTATCAAAGTTATGTGTAGATTTCATAAATAAAAGCTTTCAGTGTTTCCAGTACTGCAGGGAGAGGGCAGATATAGTGATTTAAGATTATTGTTGTTATTATATTCATTGGGAAGTGCTGAATCTAGAGGTCATAATACACAGCTGAGGAATGGAAGGTAATCAGGTTTGATCCAAGGAAGGGGAATAGTACTTCAAATCCATTGGATCAAAAGCTTTTAACTGTTAAAGAGGGTCTCCCCAAAAGGGGATAACTATTTAAGAAAAAGTGGCCTCTGTGACCCTGGGTTTTACAAAATAATTTTTTTTAGCGAAAGTGTAAATAAATATATTAGAGGGTGATAACTCTTGACAAAATAAAGAGGTAGTTTTAGGAATATGAGCCATTATCAGTTTATAAAGGTTTATTGTGAATAAATTCTGCTGATATATACAAGATAGTGTTATCATTGCAGAGCAGTGGGTGCAATGGGAAATACTCTTACTTAATAAATCTGCCAATTTTTAAGAATATGTAGTTATTTGGAAAGATTTCTCATTACCTTTCTATTTTTACCTTGTACAGGGTTTGTCTGGTTCTTCATCAGGTTCTTTCCTGTTTTAAATTCACTCATCTCTCACGTGCATCAGTTTGTGAAGTGATCGTTTTTTTTTTTTCACACGCTGGCCATCTCCCACTGAGGCAGGGTGACCCAAAAAAGAGACAAAAAAAGAAAACGCTTTCACCATCATTCACACATAATTACTGTCTTTGCAAAGGCGCACAGATATGACAGTTCAGATGTCACTCCAAACAGCAAATATCCCAAACCCCTCCTTTAACCCTTTTAGTGTTGGTCCTGTTATATAATGGCTTTGAAGCCAGTGTCAGTCCCGTAGTACAATGCCATTAGCTTAACTTGTTTAGATAAGCTGTGAGCAGTAAATTTGGGCCTAGATATGAGCAAATGGGTCCATGCAGGAAGTGTGCACCATTTTTTTTTTTTTTTTTTTTAACTAGTCGGCCATCTCCCACCGAGGCAGGGTGACCCAAAAAGAAAGAAAATACCTAAAAAGAAAATAATTTCATCATCATTCAACACTTTCGCCTCACACACACAATCAATGTTTTTTGCAGAGGTGCTCAGAATACAACAGTTTAAAAGCATGTACATGTACGTATAGATACACAACATATCCCTCCAAACTGCCATTATCCCAAACCCCTCCTTTAAAGTGCAGGCATTGTACTTCCCATTTCCAGGACTCATGTCTGGCTATATAAAAATAACCGGTTTCCTTTACTCCCTTCACTAAATATTACCCAGCTCACACTCCAACAGCTCGTCAGGTCCCAAATACCATTCGTCTCCATTCACTCCTATCTTAACACGCTCATGCACGCTTGCTGGAAATGTTTTTCAGTGCCAAGAATGTCTACATTGTTTATTCTGGACTCCTTTTAAATTAGCCATTTTTTAATTTTGTGTGAAATTTCCCAAATTGCAGATATATATCTGATAACTTTATTGACGGTAGTAGGTTGGTAGACAGCAACCACCCAGAGAGGTACTACTGTCCTGCCAAGTGAATGTAAAACAAAAGCCTGTAATTGTTTTACATGATGGTAGGATTGCTGGTGTGTCTTGTCTCTCATAAATATGCAAGATTACAGGTATGTCTTGCTACTTCTACTTACACTTAGGTCACACTACACATACATGTACACGTTTATTTATACACACTCATCTGAGTTTTCTTTGATTTTATCTTAATAGTTCTTGGTCTTATTACTTTTCCTTTTATATCCATGGGGAAGTGGAATAAGAATCTTTCCTCCGTAAGCCATGCGTGTTGTAAAAGTCAACTAAAATGCCGGGAACAATGGGCTAGTAACCCCTTTTCCTGTAAAGATTACTAAAAAGAATAAGAAGAAGAAAATTGTCAAAGTGGGAAGTCTGAATGTGCGTGGATGTTGTGCAGATGATAAGAAAGAGATAATTGTGGATGTTATGAATGAGAAGAAGCTGGATGTCCTGGCTTTAAGTGAAACAAAGCTGAAGGGGGTTGGAGAGTTTCAATGGAGAGGAATAAATGGGATTAGGTCAGGGGTTTCAAATAGTTAGAGCTAAAGAAGGAGTAGCAATAATGTTGAAGGATAAGCTATGGCAGAAAATGAGGGACTATAAATGTATTAATTCAAGGATTATGTGGAGTAAAATAAAGATTGGATGTGAAAAGTGGGTTATAGTAAGCGTGTATGCACCTGGAGAAGAAAGAAGTGTAGAGGAGAGAGAGAGATTTTGGGAAATGTTGAGTGAATGTGTGGGGAGTTTTGAATCAAGTGTGAGAGTAATGGTGGTTGGGGATTTCAATGCTAAAGTGGGTAAAAATGTTATGGAGGGAGTAGTAGGTAAATTTGGGGTGCCAGGGATAAATGTAAATGGGGAGCCTTTAATTGAGCTATGTGTAGAAAGAGATTTGGTAATAAGTATTACATATTTTATGAAAAAGAGGATAAATAAATATACAAGGTATGATGTAGCACGTAATGAAAGTAGTTTGTTAAATTATGTATTGGTGGATAAAAGGTTGATGGGTAGGCTCCAGGATGTACATGTTTATAGAGGGGCAACTGATATATCGGATCATTATTTAGTTGTAGCTACAGTTAGAGTAAGAGGTAGATGGGAAAAGAGGAAGGTGGCAACAAGAAGTAAGAGGGAGGTGAAAGTGTATAAACTAAGGGAGGAGGAAGTTCGGGGGAGATATAAGCGACTGTTGGCAGAAAGGTAGGCTAGTGCAAAGGTGAGTAGTGGGGGGGTTGAAGAGGGTTGGAATAGTTTTAAAAATGCAGTATTAGAATGTGGGGCAGAAGTTTGTGGTTATAGGAGGGTGGGGGCAGGTGGAAAGAGGAGTGATTGGTGGAATGATGAAGTAAAGGTTGTGATAAAAGAGAAAAAGTTAGCTTTTGAGAGGTTTTTACAAAGCAGAAGTGTTATAAGAAGAGCAGAGTATATGGAGAGTAAAAGAAAGGTGAAGAGAGTGGTGAGAGAGTGCAAAAGGAGAGCAGATGATAGAGTGGGAGAGGCACTGTCAAGAAATTTTAATGAAAATAAGAAAAAATTTTGGAGTGAGTTAAACAAGTTAAGAAAGCCTAGGGAAAGTATGGATTTGTCAGTTAAAAACAGAGTAGGGGAGTTAGCAGATGGGGAGATGGAGGTATTGGAGGTATTAGGTAGATGGCGAGAATATTTTGTGGAACTTTTCAATGTTGAGGAAGAAAGGGAGGCGGTAATTTCATGCACTGGTCAGGGAGGTATACCATCTTTTAGGAGTGAAGAAGAGCAGAATGTAAGTGTGGGGGAGGTACGCGAGGCATTACGTAGAATGGAAGGGGGTAAAGCAGCTGGAACTGATGGGATCATGACAGAAATGTTAAAAGCAGGGGGGGATATAGTGTTGGAGTGGTTGGTACTTTTGTTTAATAAATGTATGAAAGAGGGGAAGGTACCTAGGGATTGACGGAGAGCATGTATAGTCCCTTTATATAAAGGGAAAGGGGACAAAAGAGATTGTAAAAATTATAGAGGAATAAGTTTATTGAGTATACCAGGAAAAGTGTACGGTAGGGTTATAATTGAAAGAATTAGAGGCAAGACAGAATGTAGGATTGCGGATGAGCAAGGAGGTTTCAGAGTGGGTAGGGGATGTTCAGCATATATGTGAACAGTATTTAGATAAAGGTAGGGAAGTTTTTATTGCATTTATGGATTTAGAAAAGGTATATGATAGAGTGGATAGGGGAGCAATGTGGCAGATGTTGCAAGTACAGTGGACCCCTGCATAACGATCACCTCCGAATGCGACCAATTATGTAAGTGTATTTATGTAAGTGCGTTTGTACGTGTATGTTTGGGGGTCTGAAATGGACTAATCTACTTCACAATATTCCTTATGGGAACAAATTCGGTCAGTACTGGCACCTGAACATACTTCTGGAGTGAAAAAATATCGTTAACCGGGGGTCCACTGTATATGGAATAGGTGGTAAGTTACTAAATGCTGTAAAGAGTTTTTATGAGGATAGTGAGGCTCAGGTTAGGGTGTGTAGAAGAGAGGGAGACTATTTCCCGGTAAAAGTAGGTCTTAGACAGGGATGTGTAATGTCACCATGGTTGTTTAATATATTTATAGATGGGGTTGTAAAAGAAGTAAATGCTAGGGTGTTCGGGAGAGGGGTGGGATTAAATTATGGGGAATCAAATTCTAAATGGGAATTAACACAGTTACTTTTTGCTGATGATACTGTGCTTATGGGAGATTCTAAAGAAAAATTGCAATGTTTGGGAATGTGTGTAAAGGTAGAAAGTTGAAAGTGAGCATAGAAAAGAGTAAGGTGATGAGGGTATTAAATGATTTAGATAAAGAAAAATTGGATATCAAATTGGGGAGGAGTATGGAAGAAGTGAATGTTTTCAGATACTTGGGAGTTGATGTGTCGGCAGATGGATTTATGAAGGATGAGGTTAATCATAGAATTGATAAGGGAAAAAGGGTGAGTGGTGCATTGAGGTATATGTGGAGTCAAAAAAACGTTATCTATGGAGGTAAAGAAGGGAATGTATGAAAGTATAGTAGTACCAACACTCTTATATGGGTGTGAAGCTTGGGTGGTAAATGCAGCAGCAAGGAGATGGTTGGAGGCAGTGGAGATGTCCTGTCTAAGGGCAATGCGTGGTGTAAATATTATGCAGAAAATTCGGAGTGTGGAAATTAGGAAAAGGTGTGGAGTTAATAAAAGTATTAGTCAGAGGGCAGAAGAGGGGTTGTTGAGGTGGTTTGGTCATTTAGAGAGAATGGATCGAAGTAGAATGACATGGAAAGCATGTAAATCTATAGGGGAAGGAAGGCGGGGTAGGGGTCGTCCTCGAAAGGGCTGGAGAGAGGGGTAAAGGAGGTTTTGTGGGCAAGGGGCTTGGACTTCCAGCAAGCGTGCGTGAGCGTGTTAGATAGGAGTGAATGGAGATGAATGGTACTTGGGACCAGACGATCTGTTGGAGTGTGAGCAGGGTAATATTTAGTGAAGGGATTCAGGGAAACCGGTTATTTTCATATAGTTGGACTTGAGTCCTGGAAATTGGAAGTACAATGCCTGCACTTTAAAGGAGGGGTTTGGGATATTGGCAGTTTGGAGGGATATGTTGTGTATCTTTATACGTATATGCTTCTAAACTGTTGTATTCTGAGCACCTCTGCAAAAACAGTGATTATGTGTAAGTGTGGTGAAAGTGTTGAACGATGATGAAAGCATTTTCTTTTTGGGGATTTTCTTTCTTTTTTGGGTCACCCTTCCTCGGTGGGAGACGGCCGACTTGTTGAAAAAAAAAAAAAAACTATTGGGTAGTTGAAATAGGCAAATAGGCAGTTTCTTGTACTCAGTCAATAGACTAGAAGGAATACTAGCAAAATAGCCATGAGTTCAGTCAACTGGAACTATGAAATTGGCCAAAAACAAAGCACACAGTGAGTGAAATTGCTGATGCATAAATAGTGCTGAGGCTGCTAATTTTGCAAGTGTAGTTCCATAAGATTTCCATCAAATTTCTTACTCTTGATTTTATTACCTTTAGAAAAAGATTATAATTTCCTAAGCTAAAATAATTTTTTTTTTTTTTTAAATTCTTTGACCCTGAGAGTAAGTTTGAGATCTGATGTCTCGACACTGAAAGGGTCAAGGTACCTCCCACCTCCAGGACTCAAATCAAGTGAGCCATATATATAAAATATATGTTCAAGAATTCATTTTAAATTTTCAGGAATTTAACTGCAAGCGAGGCTGATGATATTGCTGGAAGTGACCCAGATTATTGTATTCGCTCCTTGTACAATAGCATCTGCAAAGGCGAATATCCATCTTACACCATGTATATCCAGGTATGACTTACAAGCTTTTCAAGAAAATGAGTTATAATTACCATATTTTAATTAAATTATATTAAAAAGTACACAATGATAGGTCCTTTACAGGGGCAGATTGTAGGGTCTTAGGGCATGCTAGAAAGTATTCATACCAGTGAGCCACAGGGGATATCCAGAAGAACTTTTTTCATTAAAAGAGTGACAGACGGGAACTAAACTTATGGTATTGTGGAAGCAGATGCCATACAGGGAATTGGATAGTAAATTTGACAAAACTGTTTTGTGTTAATTGGTTGAATGATATGCTTAGATATAATAGGGATTGTGTTTCTTTTCTTGACAGGTTATGACTTTTGACCAAGCTGAGAACTGGAAATTCAACCCCTTCGATTTAACAAAGGTCTGGCCTCATGGTGAATTCCCGCTTATTCCTGTTGGCCGCATCACACTCGACCGCAACCCCAAAAGCTACTTTGCTGAGGTATTTATTTTTTTGTCAAGTAATTCTGGTGTGAATAGGTAACTAACATTCAGATAACATATACAGTGGAACCCTGAATATCGGCCTCTGCGTTTATCAGCCGAATCGTATTTAGGCCGGTTTTGGGGCCGAAATTTTACTCCATATTTCGGCCGGTGCCTCACAAATCGGCCGTATTAGACACGTCAACCCACCTCCCACCAGGACACCACATGTAGGTGAGTCAGTCTCCCTGTGTCTCTCGGAGAATGAGCATATACTCCTCGCATTCATCCAAACATTTCCTTAAAATCCATTGGTTTTTGTGCTTGTTTATTAAGTGCATGTGCTCCAGCTTGCCAGGATGTCTGGCAAAAACAAATCAACAATCACTTCTATCCTGGCAAAGAAATAACAAATCAAGGAAGCTGATGTGGCGAAAGGGGTCATCATGTTAACGAAAAGGAGATCACAAACAGTGGAAGATGTGGAGAGAGGCAGGGAGTGTAGCAGGCAGGCAGGCAGGGAGTGTAGCAGGCAGGCAGGCAGGCAGGGAGTGTAGCAGGCAGGCAGGCAGGGAGTGTAGCGGGCAGGCAGGCAGGCAGGGAGTGTAGCAGGCAGGCAGGCAGGCAGGCAGGGAGTGTAACAGGCAGACAGGCAGGCAGGGAGTGTAGCAGGCAGGCAGGCAGGGAGTGTAGCAGGCAGGCAGGCAGGGAGTGTAGCAGGCAGGCAGGCAGGCAGGGAGTGTAGCAGGCAGGCAGGGAGTGTAGCAGGCAGGCAGGCAGGCAGGCAGGGAGTGTAGCAGGCAGGCAGGCAGGCAGGGAGTGTAGCAGGCAGGCAGGGAGTGTAGCAGGCAGGCAGACAGGGAGTGTAGCAGGCAGGCAGGCAGGCAGGCAAGGGGTGTAGCAGGCAGGCAAGGGGTATAGCAGGCAGGCAGGGGGTATAGCAGGCAGGAAGGGAGTGTAGCAGGCAGGCAGACAGGGAGTGTAGCAGGCAGGCAGGCAGGCAGGCAGGCAAGGGGTGTAGCAGGCAGGCAAGGGGTATAGCAGGCAGGCAGGGGGTATAGCAGGCAGGAAGGGAGTGTAGCAGGCATGCAGGGAGTGTAGTAGGCAGGGAGGGAAGTAACCCCAGAGAGGGCTTTGATACCTGAAGTCCTTATGGAGGGGGGATTTCCCTTCCAAACAATAATCAGTCCTCCCTCTCTCCTCCTCCCTGTCTTCCATAAGCCAACAAGAGTCTTCAATAAAGGTATGTAATAGTTATTTAAATGTTCATTTATTTATTTTATTTAGTTCTCATTGTTTTGTGTATGTAAAACTATAATTAATCTTTAAAAAATGTATTTTTTGTTAATATTTTTGGGTGTCTGGAACAGATTAATTGTATTTACATTAATTCTTATGGGAAATATTGCTTCGAATTTAGGCCAACCTTCTGGAACAGATTACGGCCAATATTCGGGGGTTCCACTGTACTGAGTTGGATGAATCTTATTAGAGCCAGCTGGTCGAGCAGTTAATAATAATAACAACAATAACAAGTTTATTTTACCATGATACATGTTTGTACATAGGAGTGTAACAGTTTGGTGAACATGCCAAAAGCCCCTTTATATGCAGAGCATTTCGGGCAAACTTAAGACTAACTTAAGATTAATAAGGCAATAACAGTACTGTAATTATATACATATGGTGATTAGGTGAGTTACAGTGAATAGAAGAAAATTGAATTTTCAACTAGTTAACGCTATATGGCTTTAGTAAGTTAGGTAGAGAATAATTAAAGTTTTGATATAGTATATAAAAAATACAGTATTACAATTGAGTTTTAGGATACTCTTGATGTGAGTTCAAACCCCACCCGTTCCCTGATGTGATTAACATTAAAATACTAAATACATATTTTGTATAAATAATTGGTTGTAAGACTCCTCTTAGTTTAATGTGAATGCAAATTTTCATTACCTGCATTCGTATCCACAACTTGCATATTGGTTATCAAATAGATTTCTTTATTTGTTTATTATGTATCATAGTGATGGATTAGTATTTCATTACCTGTGCATGAGTACACTATATATGGTAGACAGCAACCGCCCAGGGAGGTACTACCATCCTGCCAAGTGAGTGTAAAACTGAAGCCTGTAATTGTTTTACATGATGGTAGGATTGCTGGTGTCTTTTTTGTTTTTTCTGTCTCATACACATGCAAGATTTCAGGTACGTCTTGCTACTTCTACTTACACTTAGGTCACACTACACATACATGTACAAGCATATATATACACACCCTTTTGGGTTTTCTTACATTTTCTTTCTAGTTTTTGTTCTTGTTTATTTCCTCTTACCTCCATGGGGAAGTGGAACAGAATTCTTCCTCCGTAAGCCATGCGTGTTGTAAGAGGCGACTAAAATGCCGTGAGCAAGGGGCTAGTAACCCTTTCTCCTGTACGTATATATTACTAAATGTAAAAGGAGAAACTTTCGTTTATCCTTTTGGGCCACCCTGCCTTGGTGGGATACGGCCGTTGTTTTGAAAGAAGAAGAGGAGTACACTATAATTGCAGAATGACTAGTAAGTATTTTTTTTTTTTTAAACACCTCGGCCGTTTCCCACCAAGGTAGGGTGGCCTAAAAAAAAAAAAAACTTTCATCATAATTCACTCAATCACTGTCTTGCCAGAGGTGCACTCACACTACAGTTATAAAATTGCAACATTAACACCCCTCCTAAAAGTAATAGGAGTATTTATCTGTTGAGAAATTTCAAGTTTTTAATTAATCATAATTCTTAGGAAATGTTGTTCTCCATTATTTAAATGTAAGTTACATCTTCATATAAAAAAATATTTTATTTTACAAACTGACATTAAACAGTCATTATACAATTGCTCAAACTCATGATAAATTAATTTGTTTCACTATTTTTCAACCAAACTACATATGCTGTAGTTTTCTGTTTGTGACACTACAATAAAAGAAAAAAATTTTACTCTTAGACTAAATTACCAAATCCAAACTGATTATCTCAATGTCAAGCAGACAGTATACCAGTGCCGCTCATAGTCATACTTCCCAACATGTAACGTAGTATAGTTTTAGTTTGTTCCTTCGATTTAAGAAAAATTTTATGAATGTCATTTTTTCCTCACACTGTTTGCTTATCTCTTTTTGTCTTTAACTCTGACAGAGTTAGAGCTAAAGAAGGGGTAGCTGTAATATTAAATGATCAACTGTGGTACGAGAAGAGGGAGTATAGGTATATAACTTAAAAAATTATGTGGATTAGAATAAGGATGGGTTATAATAAGTGTTGATGCGCATGAAGGAGGAAGGGAGGGGTAGAGATTAAGATTTTGGGAGATGTTAAATGAGTCTTCAGGGAGTTTTGAATCAGGTGAGAAAATAATTATTGCTGGGAACTTAAATGCTAAAGTGGAAGAAATTCTAGTAGGTAAATTTTTATATAGCCGGACTTGAGTACTGGAAATGGGAAGTACAATGCCTGCAGTTTCAAGGAAGGGTTTGGGATATTGGCAGTTTGTAGGGGTATGTTATATATCTTTATATATGCTTCTAAACTGTTGTATCTGGCATCTCTGCAAAGACAGTGATTGCGTGAGTGAGGTGAAAGTGTTGAATGATGATGAAAGTATTTTCTTTTTGGGGATTTTCTTTCTTGTTGGGTCACCTTGCCTCGGTGGGAGACGGCCGACTTATTGAAAAAAAAAAAAAATGAAGTGCCAGGGGTAAATGATAATTGGTGTGCCTCTAGTTGAATGATGTATGCTTTAAAAAGAGATTTGGTAATATGGTATATGTATTTTAAGAAAAAGAGAATAAATAACTACATGAGATGTAATATAGGATGTAATGACAGCAGTTTGTTAGACTATGTATTAGTAGATAAATGGTTGATGGGTAGACTTAGGATGTTAATGTTTTTTAAGAGGGGCAACAGATATCTCAGATCATTATTTACTGGAAGCTGCAGCGAGAGTAAGAGGTAGTTGGTGTACAAGTAGAATGTTCTCAGTGGGTATGAGAGATGTGGAAGTTAATAAATTAAAGGAGGGGCTAATTAGGGTAAGATATAAGCATTTATTGGGATAAAGTTATGCAAGAGAGAGTATAGGTAATGAGGAAGGGGGAATTTGAAGAGGTTTGAAGTAGATTAAAAAATGTAATATTAGTGTATGCAGAAGAGTGGTATAGGAGGTTGGGTGCAGGAGGAAAATGGGATGATTGGTAGATTTATGAAGTAAAGAGGGTGGTAAGAAAAAGTTTGCATATGAGGTTTTTTACAATATAGAAGTGATACAATGAGGTTGGAGTATATGTAAAGTTAAAATAGAGGTTGAAAGAGTGGTCCAGGAGTATAAAAGGAGGGCTAGTGAAGGAGTGGATGAGGTTTTATCAACAAATGTTGCCAAGAATAAGAATAAAGATACCTAACTGTTGCATATGTGTCTTACCTAACAAGAATAAGAAAGTTTTTGAATGAGAGCAATAAGTTGAGAAAGCCTAGGGAACTAAAGGATATAATATTTAAAAACAAATGAGGGTAGTTAATGATGACAATCTTTGTTTCTACAAGTACACATACATGGTATACAGGCCTAGCTGACATCAATGTCATGCTACTATATAGAAGCCGCTTGTTATGAAGAGCATTTCGAGCAAATTAGGTCAGTTTTGTCCTAGGATGCGACCAACACCAGTCGACTAACACCCAAACAAAACAAAACAAGAAAAAGTTTGTTTGTAAAGGTTACAGTGTGTCTTTACATTTCATAATATGATTGGTACAAAGAAAGCCACTATCATGCCGAGGCACTTCGGGCAGACTTAACCTCGTACTTAAAGACTACTGAACAGGTAAAGAATGGTGATTTCACATATTCGGTACTTTACTTAATTATTAATATGAGGTAGTACAATTTGATACAAAAATACATTTTTACGTTTGTAATAATGGTTTAATAGATAAGGGATAATAAAATATTTGGGAGAGTTGCTTCAAATTTGGTTAGAGATTAGCATAATGTTGGTATGGTTATTACTGAGAGATGAGATGATTTTTAAGTATTGTGTAGACCTAAATTTATTTGTAGGCAGGGGACCTCTTGCTGGTTTGGGCAAAGAGTTCCATATCTTTAGGCGCTTTATGTGCATTGCATTTTTGCATAGTGTGAAACGGACATGAGGGATGTCAAAAAGTGTTTTGTGCCTCAACCCCCAGACCTTGGTGTGTGAACTGAGTGTGCTAGCAATTGAGAAGATGGAAACATTGAGACGATGGAAGGGACATTTTGAGAAGTTGTTGAATGTTGATGAAGAAAGGGAAGGAGCATTTTCATGCATTTGGCACACAAGTAAAACATCTTACAAAAGTGAGGAAGAGTCAGATGCGAGTGTGGTGGAAGCGCATGAGGTTATGGGTAGACTGGAAGTGGGTAAGGCAACTGAGATAGATGAGATATGTTAATACCAGGTGATGATAAAGTTTTGAAATGGGGATTGGCAGAGAACATGTACAGTAGGACTCCACTTATATGGCAGGTTAGGTTCCAGGCTACAGTGGGAAAGCGGACATTGCCAGAAAGCAGAATGCCATTGTTTCCTCTTATAAATTAATATAAATGCCAGAAAACAAGTTTACACTAACATATATTAAGTTAGCGATAGAACTAAGCATTAAAAACAATAAAAAGTAAAATACATACACTTTAAAATATTTGTAGTCTTAATGTAGGGTGAGAGGTGAGTAGTATTTATTGTAATAAGTCAGGTGTGGGAGGTATGGTAGCCAGCCAGGACACTCCACCCACACGTAATATACTACAACATTTAAAGTGCCCCAGAGTGATAAAATGTATTTGCAGTACAATCATTACTTACCTTAAAATATTTGTAGTCTTAATTTGGGGCGAGAGGTGAGTAGTATTTATTTGTAGGAAGTCAGGTGTGGGAGGTATGGTAGCCAGTCAGGCCAGGGCAACCCACCCACACATAATATGCTACAACATTTAAATCACCCTAGAGTGATAAAATGCTTATGCAGTATCCTCATTACCTATCTTGAAATATTTGTAGTCTTAATGTAGTGTGAGAGGTGAGTAAACAAGGTAAAATGAATAAATGAGAGAGAGAGAATGAGTAAATAAAAGAGACATGGAGGATGTAAACAGACGAACGCTTCTGGTTATGGTTGATACACGTTCATCTACACCTAACATCTCGTATTTTTGTTAATTTATTCCACTGTGGGGTGTATTTATCATGTTTATATGTTACATAGCATGTTTATAATATAATTTTGAAAAACATATCATAGATGGATTAACGAAAATGTTTATATTAATGTAATATGCAACATTTAATGTGCCTCAGTGATTATTATTGCATATTATTATAATTATTATTAATATGATGTCCTTGAGACTAATAAGACACTCTTAGTGATTTTAATGTGTACCTGCACACCAGCACAGAGTGTATGTTTATTTAGGTACAGTTACGCATAAGTATAATTATCAGAGGATGTACAAAACATGAAATAACTTTAAAACACTTGAAATTTTGGAAACTTTCCAGACATATTGGAAAGACTTGGTGCTCACAGAGCTCACGGTGAATGTAAACAAACTGGGTGGCCCGTGGTGACCATATTAGAAAGTCAGGTGAGGGGAGCCATATAGCGAGTTTTGGTCATAATTTGAAATGTCCGTATTAGCGGAACGCAGTAAAGCGGGGCCCTGCTGTATAGTTAATTTGCATAAAGAAAAAAGGGATAAAAGACTAGAAATTATAGGGGAATGAACCTGTGGTACCAGCACTCTTACATGAGTGTGAAACATGGGTTGTAAATGCTGCAGCAAGCAGGAGGCTGGAGGCATTGAAGATGTCATGTCTAAGGGCAGTGTGTGCTGTAAATGTTATGCAGAGAATTCATAGTGTGGAAATTAGGAGGAGGCGTGGAGTTACTAAAAGTATTACTCAAAGGGCTGAAGAAGGGTTGAGGTGGTTTGGTCATTTAGAGAGGATGGAACAAAGTAGAAGGACTTGGAGAGCATATAAATATGTAGTGGAAGGAAGGTGTGGTAGAGGTCGTCCTGGGAAAGGTTGGAGGGAGGGGGTAAATGAGGTTTTGTAAGCGAGGGGCTTGGACTTAAAGTAAGTGTCCCTGAGCGCGTTAGATAGGAGTGAATAGAGACGAATGAATTTTGGGACCTGACGAGCTGTTGGAGTGTGAACAGGGTAATATTTTGTGAAGGGATTCAGGGAAACTGATTAGGCAGACTTGAGTCCTGGAAATGGGAAGTACAGTGCCTTCACTTTAAAGGAGGGGTTTTGGATATTGGCAGTTTGGAGGGACATCTAAACTGTCGTATGTGAGCGCCTCTTCAAAGACAGTGATTATGTGTGAATGATAGTGAAAGTGTTGAATGATGATGAAAGTTTTTTCTTTCTTTTTGGGTCTTTTCTTTCTGTTTAGGTCACCCTGCCTCAATGGGACAAGGTCAGTGTATTAAAAAAAAAAAACTGTTGAGTATACTTGGTAAAGTGTATGTAGTTATTATTGACAAAATTTAAGGTCACAGTGAGTAGGATTGCAGATGAACAAGGTTGTTTTAGGAAGGGTAGGGGGATGTGTAGATGAAGCATTTACATTTAAGCATATAGGTGAACAGTACATTTGAACTGTGATGTCAGCATTTCTTTCAAGACAGTGATTGAATGAATGATGGTGAAAGTGTTTTCCTTCTCATTGAGTCACCTTACATCTGTGGGAGACCAACAGTATGTTAGTAAAAAATCTGATACAAAGTTGTAGTTGTCACAATTGTTTCTTGCCAATGACTCGGTTCTTTTGGGAAAATTCTTCAATGAAGTTAAGGTTGGTAGACAAATTTGTAAAGGTATGTTAAAAAAGATAGGTAGTAGGTTGGTAAACAGCAACTGCCCAGGGAGGTACTACCGTCCTGCCAAGTAATTGTTTTACATGTAATTGTTTTACATGATGGTAGGATTGCTGGTGTCCTTTTTTTTTCTCTCTCATAAACATGCAAGATTTCAGGTACATCTTGCTACTTCTACTTACACTTAGGTCACACTACACATACATGTACAAGCATATATATACACACCCCTCTGGGTTTTCTTCTATTTTCTTTCTAGTTCTTTTTATTATTATTAGGACACTGGCCGATTCCCACCAAGGCAGGGTGGCCCGAAAAAGAAAAACTTTCACCATCATTCACTCCATCACTGTCTTGCCAGAAGGGTGCTTTACACTACAGTTTTTAAACTGCAACATTAACACCCCTCCTTCAGAGTGCAGGCACTGTACTTCCCATCTCCAGGACTCAAGTCCGGCCTGCCGGTTTCCCTGAATCCCTTCATAAATGTTACTTTGCTCACACTCCAACAGCACGTCAAGTATTAAAAACCATTTGTCTCCATTCACTCCTATCAAACACGCTCATGCATGCCTCCTGGAAGTCCAAGCCCCTCGCACACAAAACCTCCTTTACCCCCTCCCTCCAACCTTTCCTAGGCCGACCCCTACCCCGCCTTCCTTCCACTACAGACTGATACACTCTTGAAGTCATTCTGTTTCGCTCCATTCTCTCTACATGTCCGAACCACCTCAACAGCCCTTCCTCATCCCTCTGGACAACAGTTTTGGCAATCCCGCACCTCCTAACTTCCAAACTACGAATTCTCTGGATTATATTCACACCACACATTGCCCTCAGACATGACATCTCCACTGCCTCCAGCCTTCTCCTCGCTGCAACATTCATCACCCATGCTTCACACCCATATAAGAGCGTTGGTAAAACTATACTCTCATACATTCCCCTCTTTGCCTCCAAGGACAAAATTCTTTGTCTCCACAGACTCCTAAGTGCACCACTCACCCTTTTCCCCTCATCAATTCTATGATTCACCTCATCTTTCATAGACCCATCCGCTGACACGTCCACCCCCAAATATCTGAATAAATTCACCTCCTCCATACTCTCTCCCTCCAATCTGATATCCAATCTTTCATCACCTAATCTTTTTGTTATCCCCATAACCTTACTCTTTCCTGTATTCACTTTTAATTTTCTTCTTTTACATACCCTACCAAATTCATCCACCAACCTCTGCAACTTCTCTTCAGAATCTCCCAAGAGCACAGTGTCATCAGCAAAGAGCAACTGTGACAACTCCCACTTTATGTGTGATTCTTTATCTTTTAACTCCACGCCTCTTGCCAAGACCCTCGCATTTACTTCTCTTACAACCCCATCTATAAATATATTAAACAACCACAGTGACATCACACATCCTTGTCTAAGGCCCACTTTTACTGGGAAATAATCTCCCTCTTTCCTACATACTCTAACTTGAGCCCCTGTATAGCCCTTGTGGCTTAGCGCTTCTTTTTGATTATAATAATAATCTAACTTGAGCCACACTATCCTCATAAAAACTCTTCACTGCTTTCAGTAACCTAGCTCCTATGTTCTTGTTTATTTCCTCTTATCTCCATGGGGAAGTGGAACAGAATTCTTCCTCTGTAAGCCATGCGTGTTGTAAGAGGTAACTAAAATGCCGGGAGCAAGGGGCTAGTAACCCCTTCTGTATAAATTACTAAATTTAAAAAGTAAATATAAGACACCACTTTGGTACTGTACATTTATAATATATTTCCTTTGCATAACCAATGTGCGAGGATTAGTCTGCCTGAAAGGGCAGACTAATTAGAGAATTAGCTTAAAAATAATTGTAATTACTGTATGTTTCAATACTATAGTACATGTCTAATTAATCTTGGTTGCTGGATGTGTACCAATGTGTTTTCCTATTTTTACACTTAGGTAGAGCAGTTGGCATTTTCGCCTGCCAACCTGGTGCCAGGAATTGAGCCATCTCCAGATAAGATGCTGCAGGGTCGGCTTTTTGCTTATAATGACACCCATCGTCACAGACTTGGAGCGAATTACCATCAGATCCCAGTTAACTGCCCGTATCGTACCACAGTGAGAAACTATCAGCGTGATGGTCCCATGACTGTGGATACCAATCAAGTAAGTCTAGGCATACACTTACAAATTATATTTTGTACTTTTATCTTGGAAAATTTCTAATGAAAGTTCTTATATAAAATATTTACAAAGAGTTGATGATTTTTGGAAATGTTGCTTTTTTGACTTTATATTCAGGATTCTTTCATGAATTTGCATTTATCCTAGAATAGGGGTAGGGAGTTTCCTCTTCGAGATTTATTTATTTATTTATTTATTTATTTATTTAAAAATTTGAGCACACATACAGAGGTACAAAAAATACAGATAAGAGCAGCATGCCAAAGCCACTTATACTATGCATAGCATTACGGGCTGGCTTAAAATTAACTTAAGATTAACTAAGCAATGATGAAATCAGTGATAAAACATTAATGTAAACAGATTACTATAAAGCACAAGTGAGTATTACAAAGACAGGTCATATGGTTGTATGCATTGTTGTACATTCAGTAGAATGGAGTATTCTGTTAGGTAGTGTATTTAAAAAATAATAAAGTTAGATTGGGTTTAGGTTTAACATTTATGTGATATAATTGTGAGAAACATTTAAGATATACAATTTATAAGGTTCAGTTATTCAGTATTTATTTGGTTTTTGGGTGAGTAAGTGATCTTTGAGAAGAGACTTGAATTTATAAACAGGTAGTGTTTCTTTTATATTTACAGGTAATGAATTCCAGATTTTAGGGCCTTTTATGTGCATTGAGTTTTTGCATAGTGTGAGATGGACACGAGGAACATCAAAGAGTGATCTGTGCCTTGTGTTATGGTCATGTGTTCTGTTGAGTTGGCAAGGAGATGTTTGAGGGAGGGTTAATATCAAGTTAAGTGTTCTATGTATGTAATAGGTGCAAGTAATAAGTATGGGTGTTTGTGTATGGTGAGTAGGTTTAGTGTATTGAATATTGGTGGAGTGTGCTGCCTATAGTGAGAATTTGTTATCATTCTAACTGCAGCCTTTTGTTGGGTAATTAGTGGTTTGAGATGGTTACTTGTTGTTGAGCCCCATGCACAAATTCCATAGGTGAGATAGGGGTAAATAAGAGAAGTGATATAGGCCAGGAGGGCTGACTGTGGAGCATAGTACCGTATCTTCGATAGTATGCCTACAGTCTTGGAAATTTTCTTAGAAATTTGTTGTATATGTGTATGAAATTTGAGTCTATTATCAAGGTGGATTCCTAAGAATTTTCCCTCTGTTAGCTTTGTGATAGGTGATCCGTTTATCATTATGTTAAGAGGGACATCTGTAGCTCTGTTACCAAACTGAATGAAGTAGGTTTTGTCAATGTTTAGTGTAAGTTTGTTAGTCCTCATCCAGGTAGATATTTTCTGTAATTCGGTATTTACAGTATTAGCTAGCGTGACTGGGCTCGGGTGGGAGAAGACGTATGTAGTGTCATCTGCAAATAGTGTGGGTTTGAGTAATTGCGAAGCATTTGGTAGGTCATTTATGTATAGGAGAAAGAGAAGAGGGCCAAGGACACTTCCCTGTGGGACACCAACTGTAATTGGTTGTGCAGAAGAGTTTGCCCCATTTGCATACACATATTGGCTTCTGTTGCTGAGGTATGACTTGAGGTAGTTGAGGGAGTGCCCTCTTATACCATAGTGTGACAATTTTACGTGGAGCAAGTCATGGTCAACTGTATCAAAAGCTTTACGTAAGTCAATGAAGATCCCCAGTGGGACTTCTTTTTTCTCTATTGCAGTGTATATATGTTCTAGCATGTGTATAATAGCATCATTAGTATTTTTATTAGGCCTGAATCCAAATTGGCAGGGGTTGATTCATCATAGTATCATTACACATTAGTAGTGCAGTACCCATTGATGCTTATTAGTGCACACACATTTAGAAATCTGTTTTGTGCTTTGGAAATTTAATTTTTATTAAATCATATTAACCCTTTGACTGTCGCGGTCGTATATATACGTTTTACGAGGTGCCGTGTTTGACGTATATATACTCATAAATTCTAGCGGCTTCAAATCAAGCAGGAGAAAGCTGGTAGGCCCACATGTGAGAGAATGGGTCTGTGTGGTCAGTGTGCACCATATAAAAAAAATCCTGGAGCACGCAGTGCATAATGAGAAAAAAAAAACTCCGACCGTTTTTTTTAATTAAAATGCCGACTTTGTGGTCTATTTTCGTATAGTATTTATGGTTGTATTCTCGTTTTCTTGGTCTCATTTGATAGAATGGAAAACATATTACAGAAATAGAGGTGTTTTTGATTGATTTTACTATAAAAATAACCTAGAAATGGAGCTCAAAGTAGGGGAAATGTTTGATTTTTGCCAATGTTCAAAAGTAAACAAATGATGCCATTGTCCAATAAATGTCCAACTAGCCATTCTAATATGCAGTCATAAATGGGTTGATGTTATTTATACAGTTATTACAGCATTGCAGTAGTCTGCATAATAGTAAGTCTAATATTTTTTGTTTGAATAAAAATTCAAAATAGAAAGCAAGAGTAATATCAGAGGGGCCTGGAGACGTGACTGATGAACAAAGAAAACGTTATTTTAGAGCCTGGAATGTCTGCATTGTTCATTCTGGACCTTATTTTGAAATTGTCATATTTTTTAGTTTTCGTGAAATTGGCCAAATTGCAAATTTCTGACCACATTATTAGGTAGTTGAAATAAGTAAATGGGCAGTTTCTTGTACTCAATCGATAGAAAAAATGAAGTTCTAAAGAAATAGCTATGAGTTTGGGCGACTGGAACAATGGAATTAGCCGAAAATAGGGCTCAAAGTGGGCGAAATCGCCGATTTGTAAACAGCGCCGAGGTCGCTAACTTCGCGAGAGCATAATTCCGTCAGTTTTCCATCAAATTTCGTTTTTTTGGTGTCATTACAATCGGGAAAAGATTCTCTATCATTTCATAAGAAAAAATAATTTTTTTTTTTTTTTTAAATTTTGCGACACCAGGAGACACCTCAGGATTGGGGGTTGCGACAGTCAAAGGGTTAATATAAAATATAGAAGTGTTTGCATTAGAAAATATTTGAACCTTGTTTAAATAATGGAAAGAAAATGATGAAAAGGTCTTTGGATTGTTGAGTGATATTGCAAGCACAGTTTATGGTTCAGGCCATTAGTTGTTGAAAGCTGTAGATGGGTTTTTATGGGAAAAATCAGCTAGCTGAATTTGAGTCCTGGGTGTTGAGTACCACTCTGCTGAAAGTAAGGTGAGGATGTTATAGATTGGTAGATCAGCGAGAGACAGGGGTTACTATATACTTGGTAGAAGGCAGGTTAAAGAGAGAGAGAGGGAAGGGATGATGGTTTTTTTCTTACTTTGAATTACTGTATTTTGGTGAGAAATGGTAAATTATTTAAAAGTTAGATTAGAAATAAGTGAAAGATAAAATAAAAATTTATTGTTTTTGATGGGTGAAGGCATATTCAAATTAAAGACTACAGTGCTTGTATCACTTGATAATACTCCATTATATGCAAATGATAAATAAGATGCTATATAGTACTGCAGTGAATTAATTTGTTGTGTTAATACACTAATTTGCAACTTCTTGACAGCCATGTGCGCCCAACTACTATCCAAACAGTTTCTCTGGTCCTGTTGACTGCAAGAGAACTGGGTTTGGGGAGTGTACTTACACTCTTTCAGGAGATGTGTCACGCTACAACAGTGCTGATGATGACAACTTTACTCAAGCTGGTATCTTCTACCGAAAGGTAAGAAAAACATTTTTTTATTTTTTGTTATGTTGGAGGTATCTATCTTTAGAATATTTGAATTTACATAAAACTCTCTTAATGGAACTTCACCTGGTACTGTTTTGTTGCTTTGTGATTTAAATAGTGCAACTAAAATTTGACATCATACACTGTAAATCTAAAAACAAAAAAATTAAATAGCATGCAAGTGCTAGGCAGTACCTTATGTAAAATTTCTAAATCTGCTTGCCAGGCCATGAATGGTGCCCTTCACAGCCTCCCAATCTTCTTGTTAAGTGAGAGCAACTCATGTCCTTTAGATAGCATTTTTGTTAATTAATGTTTTCCACCTTATAAATGATTAGTCTATATAAAACACCTGTACAAATTAAATGTCATTAGAGGTGAATAAAATGCCGGGAGCAAGGGGCTAGTAACTCCTTCTCTTGTATACATTACTAAAGTTATAAAGAGAAGCTTTTGTTTTTCTTTTTGGCCCACCCTGCCTCAGTGGGATACGGCTGGTTTGTTGAAAGACGAAAGAAGACCTGTATAAATGGTTTGAAGTTTAGTATCTTAAGTTGTCAGTAATATGAGGACTTCACATTTGTCTTTTGTGTTGATGCATCTACTCTAGCTGTATTGATGTAGAGAGGGTATGAGTTTATGGGATACAGGATACATATACTTTTATTGGATTACACAACAACTGAAAATCATCTTGTTTGTAGAGAGCAGTTATTTTCGTTGTAGTTGATGTTTATTAATGTGAATTGCATTTATTTCTATTATAGACATACACCTACCATCCGACTTACGACCGAGTTCGGTTCCGAGAAACCGGTCGTAAGTCGAAATGGTCGTAAGTCAAACTTTACTACTGAATATCAACAAAACATTTTTGTAATGACTTTATTTTATTGTTTTATTTTGGTATTTCATGTTTTACTTTACTTTTTATGTTGTTAGTACTGTATTTTATACTGTAAGGTTTAGGATAAACACTGTGTACAACACAAATAGTTGTTTATTTCCCAGAAATTTGGCATAAAAAACACGGTCGTAAGTCTAGTGGTCGTAAGTCGAGCAGGTCGTAAGTCAGATGGTAGGTGTATATTAATATAGACTTCCAGCAAGCATGCCTGAGCGTATTTGATAGGAATGAATGGAGACAAATGGTTTTTAATACTTAATGTGCTGTTGGAGTGTGAGCAAAGTAACATTTATGAAGGGATTCAGGGAAACCAGCAGGTCGGACTTGAGTCCTGGAGATGGGAAGTACAATGCCTGCACTTAACAGGAGGGGTTTGGGATATTGGCTGTTTGGAATGACATCTAAATTGTCATATCTGGATGCCTCTGCAAAGACAGTGATATTGTAGTAGATATTCATTAATGTAAGTGGCACTTTGGGTGTAGTATAGATTTATTGATGTAGGTGGCAGTTCTTTCTATTTTAGACATTCATGTCAGTAGTACTTCAGTTCCTTTCATTGTACCATACTGTATATTTATTAATGTAGATGACATTTGCTTCTAATGCTTTTCCTCTTTGATTATAGTGTGTCTTAACATGTCTAGCTTTTAACTTGCATATTTAACCCTTAGACTGTCCAAACGTTGATCTACGTTCACGTGCGTAGTGCTCCGACCTTGATTTTGCCCATTTGAAAGCACGTAAAAAATGTAGATCTACGTTCGGAGCCTGCCACACGTCAACATATATCTACGTTTGGACAGTTTAAGGGTTAAAGCATGTATTCAGCTATATTATATTGAAGGACTTTTACATGGGAGGCAGGGTGCTCACAGATATGGGTAATTCCAATATACCTAGAGCAGAGCAAACCTCTGTTAGAACAAGGTTATACTCGATGAGAGCTTGATCAAAGTTCTTAAAAGGCTTGCTCAGCTTTGTCTCTTTGAATAATTGTTCGGCAATATTATGCATAACATTGTGGCTAGTACGTGCAATATTACCAAACATTTGAATCTCAACTTTTGTAACAACAGGTTCTGAATGATGAAGACCGTCAGCATCTTGTGGAGAACATTGCTAACCATTTGGTGAATGCACAGGATTTCTTGCAAGAAAGGGCTATCGGCAATTTCACCCAGGCTTGCCCAGAGTATGGTGCTAGTGTCCGTAAAGCTTTAGAGAAGGTGAAGACTCAATTGTCAAAGGCTTCAGCAGCCAAATTGTAGATTGTGGAATGAAATATGGCCCCTGTCACCTGAGATACACACTGATAGAATAATGTCTGTACCAATATATTAGGCCTTTATGTTTTAGTGGTTCATAAATTATATCACAGCACAAAAATTTATTATTTTAATTCTTTCTGCATTTATTGCTTGACTTGACAAACAAACCTAAATTTTAGCTTTGTTTTAGGAGCTTTACAGCTCTTAAAACACTGGTTGTATGCTAATTATGAGCATCATTATTATTGATCCTTATGTTGTCTTGAACCTTGATGCCTTCTCTCTGGAAACATGAAATTTTATGAAGGGAACAAGTCCTTATTATCTTGTATATATTGCAGAAACATTTATACCTTAAAAACAGTGAGTACCTTGCTCACAGGGTACAGTAATTGTGTTTATCTTAATAATCTGACTAATCATATAAGAAATAATTGCCGAGGAAGATTTCCCACAGTATCAGTTTGATACATATATTATTTTATACTAATAAATCTATAATCATATTCAGATATTCATTATACTTTATTCTTGTATGTTATTTGATTAGAGAAACAATTACTTAAACTTGAATTACATATAACATTGTATATCAGGGGCACAAAGTTTACCAGGTTTGTAACTATTGGATTTCAGTGTTACTCTATATTTACACTCTGTATCATGTGTTGGTGGTTAAAGCTCTTGAGAGGAACATGGTAGTTTTTTTAAGCTCAGTGTAGTTTTTAAGTTCTTTTTAGTATGCTACATACTTTTATCTTTTAACATTTAAGGGTTAATTAGTAACCTGATATTCTGGATGGAAAGTCAAATACTGTGAAGACAATGAGGAGAATGTCATAAAAGTTTCCAGATTGAATTTTTTAGGATGTTAAATTTTGATGAGTAACAGAGGTGCAAAGTGAAATATATAAAATAGCAGACACTTAGTGTAAAACCGAAATGTAGTTAAAAGAATATTTTGCATGGAAAGAAATTATTTGCTTACTCTGGATATTATTTTCTATACGTATTTACATACTATAAAAACTGTTGCTGTATAGCCCTTGTGGCTTAGCGCTTCTTTTTGATTATGATAATAATAATATAAAAAACTGTCATGATTAGTTCCATCAGCAAGAATGCATATTTTGGTTTGTCCCATTGTGTGTGTATTTGCACATGGTATGCTAGTTTATTGGGAGATATTATTATTATTATAATAAAAAAGAAGTGCTAATCCACAAGGGCTATACAGCGCTGCTATTGGGAGATAGGATCTTGGACTATGAATATGCAACATAAAAATTGCTTGCTGTGGAATGTTGTACCTATTTATTAATAATATGCATTATGGTAGCATTTTCTTAAGTGTGACATAATTTATATAAATAAGCAAGTTATGGTTTTTATATTAGAAACCCTCTTGTGTATATGGGATCGAGCCATTAATACAGTTTTTTTTTTTGTTTGTTTGTTTGTTTGTTTTGGGAGGGGGAGGGGCTGGTAAATGACATCATTTGTTTTAAGAACAAAAACTATATGGCAAATACTTTTTCTGTTACTAAAAAAAAGTTTTTGGTACATTATTACAACTAAAGTACCTATGGAGACTGTGCTTTGAGGCAAATCTAGAAGTCTAGTTTATTTAGGAATTTCTTACTATAGTTCACTATATTAGTTGGCATTAACATGCTAAACAATGAATGTAGGTGCTACTTCTGTTACAGCTAATTTCTGTGACCAGATACTATTAATATGGTTGTCTTGGTTTTCAAGGATAAATGGTCAAAAAGTAAATAAACTTACAATTTACAGTGCTGTATAAATATCCTGTATAAATATTGTCATGACTTTTTCTAGGGATGCTTGTATCTTATATGTAACACAGCTTATAGTACCGGATGTGTTTCAAAACCAAGAGTCTGAAAATAACAAAAAAGGCACAATACCGTGACTGGAACGATACACAAATAACCCGCACATAAGAGAGAAGCTTACGGCGACGTTTCGGTCCGACTTGGACCATTGTGTGACTGTCAATGGTCCAAGTCGGACCGAAACGTCGTTGTAAGCTTCTCTCTTTTATGTGCGGGTTATTTGTGTAAGAGTCTAAAGTCTCCTGCATGAACAAATCCAAAGAATTGTTAGGTCATATTGTTGTTATTATTTTTTTCAGTCATAACGGCCTCTGCTAATCTCAATTCAGACTCAGCCTTTTCACTGTATAGACCTCTGAAATTAATACAGTGGACCCCCGCATAACGATGGCATCGCATAGCGATTTTTCCGCATAACGATTACTTTTATCGCAAAATTTTTGCCCCGCATACCGATTAAAAACCCGCATACCGATTTTCGTCCGAGACGCGTCCAATGTGCCCTCAGCCAGCCTCACATGTGCCGCTCCGTCCCATTGTTTACCAGCCAGCCTCCGCGGTAACATCCAAGCATACACTCGGAATATTTCGTATTATTACAGTATTTTCGGTGCTGTTTCTGGAAAATAAGTGACCATGGGCCCCAAGAAAGCTTCTAGTGCCAACCCTACACCTCAAAGGGTAAGAATTACTATAGAGATGAAGAAGAGATAATTGATAAGTATGAAAGTGGAGTGCGTATAGCCGACCTAGTCAAGCTGTACAAGAAACCCCAATCAACCATCGCTACTATTGTGGGCACCAGAAAGACAATCAAGGAAGCTGTTCTTGCCAAAGGTTCAACTGTGTTTTCGAAACAAAGATCGCAATTGATGGAAGATGTTGAGAGACTCTTATTGGTGTGGATAATGAAAAACAGATAGCAGGAGATAGCGTCTCTCAAGCGATCATATGTGAAAAGGCTAGGAAGTTGCATGACGATTTAATTAAAAAAATGCCTGCAACTAGTGATGATGTGAGTGAATTTAAGGCCAGCAAAGGTTGGTTTGAGAGATTTAAGAAGCGTAGTGGCATCCATAGTGTGATAAGGCATGGTGAGGCTGCCAGTTCGGACCACAAAGCGGCTGAAAAATATGTGCAGGAATTCAAGGAGTACATAGAAACTGAAGGACTGAAACCTGAACAAGTGTTTAATTGTGATGAAACAGGCCTGTTCTGGAAGAAAATGCCAGCAGGACCTACATTACTCAGGAGGAAAAGGCCACTCCCAGGACATAAGCCTATGAAAGACAGGCTTACTTTGTTGATGTGTGCCAATGCTACTGGTGATTGCAAAGTGAAGCCTTTATTGTGTATCACTCTGAAACTCCCAGAGCGTTCAGGCAAAAGAATGTCCTCAAGGATAATTTGTGTGTGCTGTGGAGGGCAAACAGTAAGGCATGGGTCACTAGGGAATTTTTCTATAACTGGTTACACCATGCATTTGCCCCCAATGTGAAAAAATTACCTAACTGAAAAGAAATTAGAACTTAAGTGCCTCCTGGTGTTAGACAATGCCCCTGGTCATCCTACAGACGTGTCAGAGCGACTTTATGGGGACATGAGCTTCATTAAGGTGAAGTTTTTGCCTCCTAATACCACTCCTCTCCTGCAGCCCATGGACCAGCAGGTTATTTCCAACTTCAAGAAACTGTACACAAAAGCTCTGTTTGAAAGGTGCTTTGTAATGACCTCAGAAACTCAACTGACTCTAAGAGAGTTTTGGAGAGATCACTTTAATATCCTCAATTGTGTAAACCTTATAGGTAAGGCTTGGGAGGAAGTGACAAAGAGGACCTTGAACTCTGCTTGGAAGAAACTGTGGCCAGAATGTGTAGACAAAAGGGATTTTGAAGGGTTTGAGGCTAACCCTGAGAAATCCTGTGCCAGTTGAGGAATCCATTGTGGCATTGGGAAAGTCCTTGGGGTTGGAGGTTAGTGGGGAGGATGTGGAAGAGTTGGTGGAGGAGGACAATGAAGAACTAACCACTGATGAGCTGCTAGATCAACTTCAACAGCAAGAGGCCACACCTGAGGAAATTGCTTCGGAGGAGGGGAGAGAGAAATTGAAGAAGTTGCCTACTTCAAAGATTAAGGAAATCTGTGCAAAGTGGCTTGAAGTGCAAACCTTCATGGATGAAAATCACCCTCACACAGCTATTGCAAGCCGTGCTGGTGATTATTACACTGACAATGTTGTGAAACACTTTAGGCAAGTCATAAAGGAACGAGAGGTACAGGCCACTATGGACAGATATCTTGTGCGAAAGAAGTCCAGTGACTCTGAAGCTGGCCCTAGTGGCATTAAAAGAAGAAGGGAAGTAACCCCAGAAAAGGACTTACTACCTCAAGTCCTAATGGAAGGGGATTCCCCTTCTAAACACTAACACACTCTCTCCCCTCCTCCCATCCCATCAATCATCACCAGATCTTCAATAAAAGTAAGTGTCATTTAATTGTGCATGCCTTTTTCAGTTTGTGTGTATTAAAATTAACATTTCATGTGGTAAAAAAAATTTTTTTTCATACTTTTGGGCGTCTTGCACGGATTAATTTTATTTCCATTATTTCTTATGGGGAAAATTGATTCGCATAACGATTATTTCGCATAACGATGAGCCCTCTTGCACGGATTAAAATCGTTAACCGGGGGTCCACTGTATTGCCCTCAGTATACACTTAAAAAAAATATTTTGAAATGGTAGAAAATCTTTTTTTCTGAAGGTAATAACAGCTAATGTACCGAAATATGATGGAAAACTTGTGGAATTATGCATGCATAAAGTTAGTGGTCTGGATGCAATTTATGCATCAGTGATTTTTGCCCACTTTGAGTAATATTTTAAGACAATTCGAATTGGTCGATTAGAGAATTCCATTGCTCTAATCGACCAAATTCTTAGATATTTAGCTAGTATGTCTTCTGTTCCATTTATTGAGCACAAGTAACTGCCAGTTCAAAAAGATGCTCCTCGCTTTATGATGGCTCGACATGTTTCAACTTGACGGCAGTGTGACACACTCACTATTGTACATATATTGATAGGATAAACTTGTATTCGTTTATTTACTTTTCACTACTGGTATTTAGTTACAGTAATTAATTTAATTCAGTGACAGTAGTTATTTATTTACATAAATGCAATAGAACTCCTGTTTCTGTGCATTCAGTTTCTACTGTTTCAGTTATCCAGAGTTTATTGTGGCCTGAAAATAAGCCTTAATTTTGCTTACTAATAATGCCAAAGCACAAAATTAGTGATGATGGCAGTTGTTCAAAGCTGTGAAGTGCTTCCCATCAGTGTAAAAATGATATTCTTGACTTACTGTGTGTAATTTATCAATTAAACTTAATCACTCTTTTTGTATGCATGATATGACCTTGCAACCTATCCCCACGGATATGGATGGGGGGGACTACTGTACATCCATATTCGTCTTACAATATTTTCAACCCCATCATAAACTGAGAAGCACTTGTATTACAACTACCTTATGTGAACAGAAGTCAGTAATTTGGCCAGCTTTACACATTTCAAAAAATATAAATTTAAAAATAGTGCAAATGAACAATGTAGATACTGTTAGCATTAAAACATCACTTCCTGTTTGATTTCAAGTTACTTCTGGTCCTGAAACCAACCAGGGAAGTATAGCATCTTTTAGAAGTGAAGAGCAGGATGTGGGTGTGGGAGAAGTGTGTGAGGCATTACGTAGAATGAAAGGGAGTAAAGCAGCTGGAACCGACAGGATCATAACAGAACTGTAAAAGTAGGAGAGGATAGTGTTGGAGTGGTTGGTATTTTTGTTCAGTAAATGTATGAAAGAGGGGGAAGGTACCTAGGGATTGGCAGTGTGTGTGTAAAGTTCCTTTATATAAAGGAAAGGGGGACAAAAGAGATTATAAAAGTAATAGGGGAATAAGTTCACAATTTACATAAATGACATAGATGAGGGAATAAATAGCAATATAAGCAAATTTGCTGATGACATAATAATAGGCCATCCAATTCATTCTAATAAGGACATTAGTGCACTCCAGGATAATTTGAATAGGCTGATGCAGTGGTCAGAGAAGTGGCAGATGCAGTTTAATGTAGACAAATGCCGAGTTCTAAATGTTGGACAGGACAATAACCATGCCACATATAAATTAAATAATGTAGATCTTAATATTAGATTATGAAAAGGATTTAGGAGTTCTGGTAAGCAGTAATCTGAAATGAAGACAACAGTGCATTAGTGTTTGCAATGAAGCTAACAGAATCATTGGCTTCATATCAAGAAGTATAAATAATAGAAGTTCTCAGGTTGTTCTTCAACACTCGTATATCTTTGGTTAGGCCTCATTTAGATTATGCTGCACAGTTCTGGTCACCATATTACAGAATGGATATAAATGCATTGGAAAATGTACAAAGGAGGGTGACAAAGTTGATCCCATGTATCACAGGGCCCTGAACCTGCACTCTAGAAAGGCGTAGAATTAGGGGGGAGACTGCCGACTTGTTAAAAAAAAAAAAAGAATGAGGTGTATAAATGGAAACAGGAATTAATAAAGGGGATGTAAATAGCATGCTAAAAATATCTAGCCTAGACAGGACACAGGAATGGATTTAAGTTGGAAAAATTCAGATTCAGGAAGGATATAGGAAAGTACTGGTTTGGTAAAGAGAGTTGTGGATGAGTGGAACAAACTCCAGAGTACCATTATAGAACCTAAGACGTGTAGTTTTCAAAATAGGTTAGATAAATATATGAGTGAGTATGGGTGGGTGTGAGTTGGACCTGACCAGCTTGTGCTACTAGATCAGTTGCTGTGCACCTTCCTTAGTGAATGGGACTTGACCTGACTACCTTAAGGCATTGGCTTAGGCCAGTTGGTGAATTGGACCTGCCTTGCATGGGCCAGTAGGCCTGCTACAGTGTTCCTTCTTTCTTATGTTCTGACGAGTATACCAGGTACAGTGTACAGTAGGGTTATTACTGAAAGAATTAGAGGCAAGACAGCAGGATTGCAGATGAATAAGGAGGCTTTAGAATGAGTAGGGGATGTGTAGATCAAGTGTTTACATTGAAGCAAATATGTGAACAGTATTTAGATAAAGGTAGGGAAGTTTTCATTGCATTTATGGATTTAGAAAAGGCATATGATAGTGAATAGGGGAGCAATGTGGCAGATGTTGCAAGTAAATGGAATAGGTAGTAAGTTACTAAATGTAAAGAATTTTTATGAGGATAGTGACGCTCAGGTTAGGGTGTGTAGGAGAGAGGGAGATTACTTCCCAGTAAAAGTAGGTCTTAGACAGGGATGTGTAATGTCACCATGGTTTAACATATTTATAGAGTGGGTTGTAAAAAGTAAATGCTAGGGTGTTGGAGGGAGGGAGTATGGAAGAATTGAATGTGTTCAGATATTTCTGAGTTGACTTGTCAGCAGATGGGCTTATGAAGAATGAGGTTAACCATAGAACTGATGAAGAAAAAAGGGTAAGTGGTGCATTGAGGTATTTGTGGAGACAAAAAACATCCATGGACGTAAAGAAGGGAATGTACAATAGTGGTACCACCACTTACGTGGGTGTGAAGTACTGGTCATAAACGCTGCAGTGAGGAGGAGGATGGAGATAGTGGAGATGTCGTGTCTAAGGGCAAAGTGTGGTGTAAATATTATGCAGAGAATTCGTAGTGTGGAAATTAGGAGTAGGTGTGGCGTTACTAAAAGTATTAGTCAGAGGGCTGAAGAGGGGTTGTTGAGGTGGTTTGGTCATTTAGAGAGAATGAAGCAAAGTAGAACGAATTGGAGAGCGTATAAATCAGTAGGGGAAGGAAGGCGGGGTAGGGGTCATCCTTGAAAAGGTCAGAGGGAGGGGGTAAAGGTGGTTTTGTGGGCAAGGGGCTTGGACTTTCAGAAAGTTTACGCGAGCGTGTTAGACAAGAGTGAATGGAGACTAATGGTTTTTGGGAGCTGACAAGCTGTTGGAGTGTGAGCAGGGTAATATTTTGTGAAGGGATTCAGGGAAACCGGTTAGCCAGATTGAGTCCTGGAAGTGGGAAGTACAATGCCTGCACTTTAAAGAAGGGGTTTGGGATATTGGCAGTTTGCAGGGACATCCAAACTGTCATATCTGGGTGCCTCTGCAAAGACAGCGATTATATGAGTGGTGGTGAATGTGTTGAATGATGAAAATTTTCTTTCTTTTTGGGTCACCCTGCCTCAGTGAGAAATGGCAGACTTGTTAAAAAAAAAAATCTTCCATCTATCAAATGATACCAAACGCATGGTCAGAATTTTGCTTTTCCCATTATGCAACATGAGGCAGGAATTTTTTCAATATTATGCACACTCACTACACAGACGTATTCTCTCATATCGAGGCCAAAATTTACTGCTCACAGCTTGAGTGAACCGAGCTCATGATATAGAACTACACGAGGGACCGTGGCCTTAATGACGTACTTCTACGTTACAGCCACTGAAGGGGTTAATTACCCAATATGCTTACTTTGCCCTTCTATCTTGTGAGCCTACCTTTAATGCAGATTCACACATTTCTTAGCTGACACTGATTTACTATAACTTCCCTTTTCCATTTTTTCTTAATGTCCTTTCATCAACACCTCTTTTCCTTGCCATGTTACACAATGACCAACAGATTTAATGTTTTCAGTAAACACCATTAACATTAAGCACTAAACTCATATACCATTAATAAAACGAAGACAATGAATGGCATCAAGGTAGAGGAGAGTACTGAAAAAAAAAAAAAAAACTGACCCTTATGGGCCATATTTTGTGAATATAAATTGAGAGATTGAGAAGTGTTTTTTGCATATCTATAACAAGAGACCATGGCACTAGTAATGTTTTCTTGAAACGGCTTTTTTCTTTCATTTTTGAGATGCCTTCCCCTCAAGGAAGGTTCCTTGATGTTGGTGAGGGGCTCTTGATTTAGGGAATTGGATCTGTGCTCCAGTTCCCCGAATTAAGCCTGAATGCCTTCCACATGCCCCCCCCCCCAGGCACTGTATAATCCTCCGGGTTTAGCGCTTCCCCCTGTATAGCCCTTGTGGCTTAGCGCTTCTTTTTGATTATAATAATAATAATAATAATAATAATTAGCACTTCCCCCTTGATTATAATAATAATAATTGAGATGCCTTCCAAAGAAGGTGCCTCGATGCTGTCAAAGGACTCTCGTACAAATTTAGTGCTTAAGTTGACGATATTCTTGATGTGTGTCACTGAACATCTAAAGGGGTGTGTAGGGGATTCATAAAAATCAATTAGAAAACAAGGAATAAAAAATAATATAAAATGAAAACAATTAGGTATACCAACTATCATTTATTTATACTCTCACAGAGAAATTACCAGCAATTCTTTAAATGTGGTCTCAATTTGAAGTTCATATACATTTTAAATTCTTTCTTATATACAAAATAAAACTTTTTATTGAAAACAGTGCTTAAATATCTGCTTTAATGCTGTTCTTCATCAGTCATGACAGTCACACTTCACATCACTTTCACTCATGCCAGTTTATGACAATGAAAAATACTGTACTCCAGTACAATTTTTACATTAAATGTGCCACATAATCATGTTTTTGCTAAGTATTAACAGTTGAATCTAATACAAAGGAAGGTACATTTCATATTTTAACCCTTAAACTGTCCAAACGTAGATCTACGTTCACGTGCGTAGCGCTCCGACCTTGGTTTTCCCCATTTGAAAGTATGTAAAAAAAAACATAGATCTACATTCGGAGCCTGCCGCAAGTCAACATATATCTACGTGTGGACAGTTTAAGGGTTAATGTTTAAAAATGATGTACTTTAGTGATTTAACTCAATGTATGTTAAAAACTTGCCAACTTGTGAACCAGAATAACAACTTTTAAAACACCTGAAATACATATCAGGAAACTTGTTCTACTTTAAATAACTTAGCTGCTGGAAGAAAATGCAAAATTATTACACTAAAATAAAAGAATATGCCTGGCAAATTGAAAGAGGAAAACATGAAACATGACTGATGATACATGTGCTTGAGGTACAATGTCTCAAACTACTTACGGCACTCATAAATGTACTTGCCACAGACTTCCCCTAGTTACAAATTGATCAGCTGCACACAAAATTGTCTTCACATGAACAGGAATATAAAAACATGGCTGGAGCTAGAAACCAGAACTTGCAATGCTACAAATAAATAACTGGTACAGTTATTAGCATACTGCTATGAGAGCTAAAAATTAAATCAAACTTTTGGAAAAAACTTCTTGGAAGTCAGTAATAATAAAAAAAAAAAAAGTATCCTCTGATATTGCATAAATCTTCACAAAATTGTTGTATGTTGAAGAAAGTTAAGTACCAGGCTTCTAACTCTAATAGGGGTGCAGCTTAGATGTTCATAGCAACGTATTCATTTATAATGATGTGTATTTACATGTCCTCTAACACTGGAACACAATTTTTATCCCTTGAGCTACTTCTGGAAGATGTTTCTTTAAGAATGAAAGAGGAGGGCATCATATCTTGTATCAACACAAGCAACATATGTACTGTATTTTGAAAATGAATGTAAATATGTATTTACATTTCAAACTGCCCTCCACCTGTGAGTCAGCAAGATACAAATACAGTAGACCCTCATATTAAATAGTAGTTATGTTCCTGAAAATGCTGTGTTAGATAAATCTGTTATATAAACTGAAAAACTTATGGGAAAAATAGGGCTACATTCCTGGGACCCCCAAAAGCCAAACAACTTTTTTTTAGACATCCAGATCTTACTAAAATAAAAATGATAATTTTGTTTTTGTTGCTTAAGACTACAAATGCTACAGAAATATTATTATTTACCTTAAATTCTGGTTGCTGGTATATGTCAGTGATTGTGAAGAGAGTGGAGATGCATGGTGTGGCCCTACTGGGCTGAGGTGGATGGTTGTTGGCTGTCGGCAGAAGTGGATGGTTGAGGTTCTGGTACTAAAGTCGAAGGTTGTACTGGAGTGTGCATAAATTTCATAATGGATCTCTGGCTTCTTTTACCCCACAGTACATTATATATATTATTCTAGAAGCTTGGTACTGCCAGGTTGGAGTCAGAGTCCATTGATGCAACTAGTTTTTTCATCATTTTTCTAGTGTAGTTACACTTGAATGACTTAACCCCCCGATCCAGTGGTTGTATTAAAGATGTTTTATTTGGAGTAAAAATATAACTTTTACATGTAGGGTCACATCCAGCAAAGCTTCTGGATGAGTACAAGAATTATCAAGAATGAAGAGAGCCTTGAATGCAAGGTTCTTGCTGTGCAGGTAAAACTTGACTTCAGGAATAGTGATGTTTAAACCAGTCAATAAATATTTCCTCTGTCATCCATGCTGACTGGTTTGACCTCCAAATTACTGGCAAGGTGTGTTTACCTACACCTTTCACAGCACGAGGATTCTGAGAGCGGTAAATAACCATGGGCTTACACTTGAAATCACCTGACACATTACCATAAACGAGCAAGGTGAAATGATCCCTTGCTGCCTTGAAGCCCAGTGCAGCCCCGCGGAGACAGTGGTCTCCCCCACAGCCAGGTGGCGGCCTGAGCCAGGAAAATATCCCATGGGTGACGCTCCAAATTTTTTTCCCTCCTGCAAACTGAACTGTGTTAGGTTAATTTTATGAAGTGTTGTATAAAACTGTGCTGCAATTTTTCAATAGTGTAATAACCAAAACGTGCCAAATAAATCTGTGTAATATGAGGGTCTACTGTATACTAAAGCAAAATAATACAATACCCAAAAAATTTTCTCCTAAATTTCATAAACCAGTGAAAACAAAAAGGAACATAATACACCTTGTAAATGTACAGAAATACAACAGAAATTAAAATTACTGAAACACTAGATACATTATTCAACAATAACAATCTTACACTGATGGACTAATCTTGTCAGAATATAAACATGAGTAAAGGTTGGGCAAATACAGCAATTCTTTTTTTTTTTTTCAGTGGTATCACTTTCTTTAAACCACTGAAGATAAATATTAGGTTCACTTCACACATTCACCATACTTGAAGTATTGTAGGAATACTGCAGCAGCATACTTCAATTTGTATGCCTATGAACTTCCTTTTATGAATTCGGAAATTAAATTCACCCTCATTAAAAGATTAAAGATGATCCTAAAACAACTATCACATAAAACTGTATACCCTATACTTCTTCATATTTTCATTTGCTTTTAACTTCTCTGTCTAACAGATATTAAAATGATTAACCCTTAAATTTCACACAGCCATGGGAGGTGGGGGTCTTCTGAAGAGGATGAGAGTAGCAATGATGACTGAAAGGACTGCCATGAGGTATATGTCCCAATCTGGGCCAAGAATTCCCTCTATGCTATTCTCATCCAAGTGTAGCCATTCAAACTGAAAAATGAAATTAACAAATATACAGTCTAATGTCTATGAGATAAGAAGAAAATTAATCTTATAATCTCCTAGCTACACAATAATATCAGTAAACATATGGATGGCTTTCAAAATTCTTAGATAAAGATTCCAAGACCCTCTTCACCACATACGAGTAACCAATCTTGAGTGTGCAGTACCAGTGTGGAATTTTAATCATACCTGCGACTGGCAAACTTTAGGTGTAAAAAAAAAAAATTGCATTATACATACCTGTGCCCAAACAAAGAGGTCTGAGCTAAGAGGAAGGGAAAATGGGTATGAATAAATCTACAGGAATTGTACAGTGCCTGGGGAAAGGAAGGCATTCAGATTCGATCCCAGGAAAATATGGGGTGGTCCAATTTTTTGGATCAAGAGCCCCTGTTGGTACCAGAGGTGGCGAGAGGGTGAGCTATGAGAAAAGACTGTAGGTACTCCCATCTTTTCCAAAGAAGAATGAAAAACCAAATACTGGCTCTTTACCAGGGATGGTAAACCAAAGAACCAATAGTGAAAGAGTAAGAAAGACACAGAATGAGCTATACAATGACAATAGAAGCTGATTCCATACAGTCCAAAAATAAAATATTAGGTAATTTAATTCTGTGAATCTAAAGAATAGGGAAAGACCCAGGAGCAAAGTTCCCTCCTATACTACCAACAATATACATATACTGTACACATTATATACATAAAATGGTTACAGAAGTCATGGGATCTAAGAGGTTTTTGTTACTTAGGCGTACAATTCATTTCAGTGATAACACACAACAGAAGAACAATGACAGATTCCACAAAATAAGGCCTCTTTACACTGCACTAACTAATTCTTACTTGAAAGTTCCAGCTACACCCAAGCAATCTATTGATGAAGTTATGGTTGCTTTCAAGGATAAAACCGCTGGAAACCTAAGGCAGTACATCAAAACCAAACCAGACAAGTAGGGTTTCAAACTATTTTGTCGTGTAAGTGAAGATGGAATCATACACGATATACTTATGTATGAAGTCAAAACAACTTTTGACAACCATCCCATAAAGCTGCCACATGAAGAAAGTAAACTACCAATAAGTTCGAAGATTGTTCTGGTGCTTGCAACAACTCTCAACCAAAGAAATACATCAGCAATCTATGCTGACAATTTTTTTTCAAGTCTACCTTTGCTCAAGTTGCTAAGAGAAAAATATAACTGCAGATACACTGGAACAGTACGTGACAATAGATGTGGCAAGCCAGAACTGGTGCCCGTCAAACAAATGGAAAAGAACATAGTGCCCAGGGGCACTTTTGACTACAAAACCAATGATGGTATCCATGTTGTAAGATGGAAGGACAACAAAGTTGTGACTTTAGTGACAGATGATGTTGGGGTTAATCCTGTGACTCCTATTGAAAGATATAACAAGGAAACAAAGACGAAAAATGAGTTCCAGTGCCCTGCAGTCATCAAGAACTATAATGCACACATGGGAGGTATTGACAAAAGTAACATGTTGGTGCATCTGTACAAAACACCTATGAAATCTAAACATTGGCACATGCGGCTGTTTGACTATGTTCTTCATCTTGCTGTTGTGAATGCATGGCTTCTATACTACCATGATTGTCGGTCACTAAAAACCAAATGCATGCCACTGTAGCTATTCAGGCTTGACATCTCTATCACTGCAAGATCCAAAGGACAAACGTTGAGATGCAGCACCATAAGAACAAGTTCAAGAAGTCCAAGAGCTTCAACAAGTACAATGGTGACAGTAATGATGATTTGCCATCCTTGCAATTGCCATCTGCAATGCAATGCCAACGTGCAGAAAGGCCAGATGACAGTGTGAGGTTTGACACAACTCTGTCACTGGCCAGTGTCAGGCAAGCTACTTACATGCAAGTTTTGCAGCACACACAAACACGTCACATCCTCATTTTCCTGTGCCATATGCAAAGTAAATCTATGCATCAAGAAGGATAGAAATGGCTTCATAGTTTCATTGTAAAAATTAGTGATCTAGAATGACTGTTCTTTCTCAGAAAACTCAGGAATATGGGAATTGAAAGTTATATCCCTTTGCAATGTGTCCATGTTGCTACAGTGGACCCCCGGTTAACGATATTTTTTTACTCCAGAAGTATGTTCAGGTGCCAGTACTGACCGAATTTGTTCCCATAAGAAATATTATGAAGTAGATTAGTCCATTTCAGACCCCCAAACATACACGTACAAACGCACTTACATAAATACACTTACATAATTGGTCGCATTCGGAGGTAATCGTTATGCGGGGGTCCACTGTACTTGGTTCATTTTTGTATTTTTTTACTACTTTCAAAATGTTTGAAAACAAGTTCAATTTATGTTTTTGATATTGTCTTTTTGTCTAATAAAATTAAAAAATAGTTATTTGGTGTTTTATTAACAATTGCCACTTTGCAACATTTAAAAATGTTCACCTTTTGGTAGGCAAGACCTACTTTTGTCGGTCTTCGCATATTGGCAACTGATCGAAAACAAACTTTCACATCTTCATTTCTACCGTCTCATTTATCTTACATTGAGACACTGTCGACTCATAGGAAATACATTTTCAAAATTCGCAATTTTTCAAGGCTTGCCTATCAAAGGGTGAAAGTGTTTTGTAACTTACATTCTCAAAATATTTGAAGGAAAAGAGTAAATTCAGCTTGGCTAAGGCCAGTGTTACTGGCACCTGGGCATCAGCACTGGCTTCTGCCGCCATGTCATAGAAGCGCTTGGCAAGGTGCATATCCTGTGGAAAGCAAGTGTATTGAGATTATTTCCTGCAACAGTGTTAATGAGTCATGTACTTTACATAAAAATGTAATAAACAATGGTTAATAGCATAGACAACCCTACATACAGAAAATAAAACAAGATGAGTACTGTGTATTTTTTAAGGTCTTTTTCAGCAAACATACATACATGTGTATGTATGTTTGTGCTATCATAATTCTTCAGCCTGGGTAGCAAAATATTAATATGATCTGAAGTTGCTATCCTTAATACGTATACATACTGTAGTACCATTTTCTATTAAGGTATACAAGAGGATATTTCTTAGGCAATAATGTACTCTTTGGAATAAAATCAGAAATGAACTCTGTTTACTAGAATAGTTGTTATCCCTATCTGCAAAATATGGCTTTTTTTTTTTTTTTTCAACAAGTCGGCCGTCTCCCACTGAGGCAGGGTGACCCAAAAAGAAAGAAAATTCCTAAAAAGAAAATACTTTCATCATCATTCAACACTTTCACCTCACTCACACATAATCACTGTTTTTGCAGAGGTGCTCAGAACACAACAGTTTAGAAGCATATACGTATAAAGATACACAACATGTCCCTCCAAACTGCTAATATCCCAAAACCCCTCCTCTAGAGTGCAGGCATTGTACTTCCCATAGCCGGACTTGAGTCCTGGAAATGGGAAGTACAATGCCTGCACTCTAAAGGAGGGTTTTGGGATATTAGCAGTTTGGAGGGACATGTTGTGTATCTTTATACGTATATGCTTCTAAACTGTTGTGTTCTGAGCACCTCTGCAAAAACAGTGATTATGTGTGAGTGAGGTGAAAGTGTTGAATGATGAAAGTATTTTCTTTTTAGGAATTTTCTTTCTTTTTGGGTCACCCTGCCTCGGTGGGAGACGGCAGACTTGTTGATGAAAAAAAAAAAAGGCCATATTTTGCAGATAGGGATAACTATTCTTTTCAGTGAAAACAGTATACAGATGAATATTTTTAAAAATAGGCATATTTTATAATAATAATAAAAGTCAAATTGTATTTACTTCCTTGACTGAGAGTCCAACTGGTTAATAAAAAAATTGTGAGCACAGTAATAGGTGTACTATTAAGCCTTAATTAGCAAGAGTATTGAGAAAAAAAATTAATAAAATTTTAAGTAAAATTCAATAAAATGGTTCGAGAACTTTTTTCTAAGCTGAAGGCACTGAAATTTTAAGAACATCTGCTCAGGATAATTCTTAAGGAATGGAAACTTCCTAAAGAAAAATCAAGACATAAAATATACAGTGGACCCCCGCATAACGATCAGCTCCCAACTCGACCAATTATGTAAGTGTATTTTTGTAAGTGCTTTTGTAGGTGTATTTTTAGGGGTCTGAAACGGACTAATCTAATTCACAATATTTCTTATGGGAACAAATTCGGTCTATAACGGCACCCAAACAAACTTCTGGATTGAAATAATATCGTTATGCAGGGGTCCACTGTATTTAGCTAGAAGACTCATTATAACTGTAGCATGCAGCAGTAAAGTACATGATATCCCACATTACCTGTTTGAGTCCCAAGCCCTGTTCATGCATATATCCCAAATTAAACATAGCTTGAGCATTATGTTGCTGTTCAGATGCCAGTCTGTAGTGCGCAGCTGCCGTTTCATAATCAACGGAAGTGCCATAACCATAGTAATGATAATCGCCAAGCTTGACTCGAGCTACAGCATAACCCTAGGTTGGAAGAGGGACACTGGTTGAGTAATGACAAACTCAAAATCTATTATATGAAGAGTACAGAAATACCTTGCATAGTACAGTTTCGAACAGTACAGGTTTTAGATACAATACAGTTTATACAGGTCCGCCATCACAAATCCGGCAATCAGTTATTTGGTTCCTTCAGTTATTTGGCACTAATTTTGGCTAGCATAATTTCAAATTTCCAGGGTCGCCACACCAACCTGCTTGTACTGTTTGGTGGCGCTACTTGCTGCATAAGTCATTCCAATTTCTTTTTCTCCGTTTATTGTTTTAACCTGCTTACTTTTAGCCCTAGCCATGGTTCCAATGAATAAAAGAAATGCTTCTCATTATGTAAAGCACCTACACAGTACATTATCCATTAACCCTTTGACTGTCGCGGTCGTATATATACATCTTACGAGGTACCGTGTTTGACGTATATATACTCATAAATTCTAGCGGCTTCAAATCAAGAAGGAGAAAGCTAGTAGGTCCACATGTGAGAGAATGGGTCTGTGTGGTCAGTGTGCACCATATAAAAAAAATCCTGGAGCACGCAGTGCATAATGAGAAAAAAAAACTGACCGTTTTTTTTAATTAGAATGCCGACTTTGTGGTCTATTTTCATATAGTATTTATGGGTGTATTCTCGTTTTCTTGGTTTCATATGATAGAATGGAAAACATATTATTGAAATGGAGGTGATTTTGATTTATTTTACTATAAAAAGAACCTGGAAATGGAACTCAAAGTAGGGGAAATGTTTGATTTTTGCCGATGTTCAAAAGTAAACAAATGATGTCATTGTCCAATAAATGTCCAACTAGCCATTCTAATATGCAGTCATGAATGGGTTGATGTTATTTATACAATTATTACAGTATTGCAGTAGTCTGCATAATAGTAAATCTTCTATTTTTTGTTTGAATAAAAATTCAAAATAGAAAGCAAGAGTAATATCAGAGGGGCCTGGAGACGTGACTGATGAACAAAGAAAATGTTGTTAGGTAAGACACATATGCAACAGTTAGGTATCTTTATTTCGAAACGTTTCGCCTACACAGTAGGCTTCTTCAGTCGAGTACAGAAAAGTTGATAGAAGAAGAAGATACTTGAAGACGATGTAATCAGTCCATCACCCTTAAAGTTTTGAGGTGGTCAGTCCCTCAGTCTGGAGAAGAGCATTGTTCCATAGTATGAAACAATATGGAGATGAAGTGACAGGATGGAGCCTTTTTATAGCGCCAAGAGGTGAGACGTAGGTGACTAGATGAGGTAAGAACTCAGATGTTGGGAGGTCAGGTCCTTCTCAAATCTAGCCGTTCTCACTAGTGGAGGTTGTTGAGGTTGATTGCAGGTCTGTACCAAGATACCCTTGTGTTGCAGTGTCTGACAAATTGAACATTAAAATGGTATATAAAATACCGACAGGTTGTTAGGTAAGACACATATGCAACAGTTAGGTATCTTTATTTCGAAACGTTTCGCCTACACAGTAGGCTTCTTCAGTCGAGTACAGAAAAGTTGATAGAAGAAGAAGATACTTGAAGACGATGTAATCAGTCCATCACCCTTAAAGTTTTGAGGTGGTCAGTCCCTCAGTCTGGAGAAGAGCATTGTTCCATAGTATGAAACAATATGGAGATGAAGTGACAGGATGGAGCCTTTTTATAGCGCCAAGAGGTGAGACGTAGGTGACTAGATGAGGTAAGAACTCAGATGTTGGGAGGTCAGGTCCTTCTCAAATCTAGCCGTTCTCACTAGTGGAGGTTGTTGAGGTTGATTGCAGGTCTGTACCAAGATACCCTTGTGTTGCAGTGTCTGACAAATTGAACATTAAAATGGTATAAAATACCGACAGGTTGTTAGGTAAGACACATATGCAACAGTTAGGTATCTTTATTTCGAAACGTTTCGCCTACACAGTAGGCTTCTTCAGTCGAGTACAGAAAAGTTGATAGAAGAAGAAGATACTTGAAGACGATGTAATCAGTCCATCACCCTTAAAGTTTTGAGGTGGTCAGTCCCTCAGTCTGGAGAAGAGCATTGTTCCATAATATGAAACAATATGGAGATGAAGTGACAGGATGGAGCCTTTTTATAGCGCCAAGAGGTGAGACGAAGGTGACTAGATGAGGTAAGAACTCAGATGTTGGGAGGTCAGGTCCTTCTCAAATCTAGCCGTTCTCACTAGTGGAGGTTGTTGAGGTTGATTGCAGGTCTGTACCAAGATACCCTTGTGTTGCAGTGTCTGACAAATTGAACATTAAAATGGTATAAAATACCGACAGGTTGTTAGGTAAGACACATATGCAACAGTTAGGTATCTTTATTTCGAAACGTTTCGCCTACACAGTAGGCTTCTTCAGTCGAGTACAGAAAAGTTGATAGAAGAAGAAGATACTTGAAGACGATGTAATCAGTCCATCACCCTTAAAGTTTTGAGGTGATACCTAACTGTTGCATATGTGTCTTACCTAACAACCTGTCGGTATTTTATACCATTTTAATGTTCAATTTGTCAGACACTGCAACACAAGGGTATCTTGGTACAGACCTGCAATCAACCTCAACAACCTCCACTAGTGAGAACGGCTAGATTTGAGAAGGACCTGACCTCCCAACATCTGAGTTCTTACCTCATCTAGTCACCTACGTCTCACCTCTTGGCACTATAAAAAGGCTCCATCCTGTCACTTCATCTCCATATTGTTTCATACTATGGAACAATGCTCTTCTCCAGACTGAGGGACTGACCACCTCAAAACTTTAAGGGTGATGGACTGATTACATCGTCTTCAAGTATCTTCTTCTTCTATCAACTTTTCTGTACTCGACTGAAGAAGCCTACTGTGTAGGCGAAACGTTTCGAAATAAAGATACCTAACTGTTGCATATGTGTCTTACCTAACAACCTGTCGGTATTTTATACCATTTTAATGTTCAATTTGTCAGACACTGCAACACAAGGGTATCTTGGTACAGACCTGCAATCAACCTCAACAACCTCCACTAGTGAGAACGGCTAGATTTGAGAAGGACCTGACCTCCCAACATCTGAGTTCTTACCTCATCTAGTCACCTACGTCTCACCTCTTGGCGCTATAAAAAGGCTCCATCCTGTCACTTCATCTCCATATTGTTTCATACTATGGAACAATGCTCTTCTCCAGACTGAGGGACTGACCACCTCAAAACTTTAAGGGTGATGGACTGATTACATCGTCTTCAAGTATCTTCTTCTTTTATCAACTTTTCTGTACTCGACTGAAGAAGCCTACTGTGTAGGCGAAACGTTTCGAAATAAAGATACCTAACTGTTGCATATGTGTCTTACCTAACAACCTGTCGGTATTTTATACCATTTTAATGTTCAATTTGTCAGACACTGCAACACAAGGGTATCTTGGTACAGACCTGCAATCAACCTCAACAACCTCCACTAGTGAGAACGGCTAGATTTGAGAAGGACCTGACCTCCCAACATCTGAGTTCTTACCTCATCTAGTCACCTACGTCTCACCTCTTGGCGCTATAAAAAGGCTCCATCCTGTCACTTCATCTCCATATTGTTTCATACTATGGAACAATGCTCTTCTCCAGACTGAGGGACTGACCACCTCAAAACTTTAAGGGTGATGGACTGATTACATCGTCTTCAAGTATCTTCTTCTTCTATCAACTTTTCTGTACTCGACTGAAGAAGCCTACTGTGTAGGCGAAACGTTTCGAAATAAAGATACCTAACTGTTGCATATGTGTCTTACCTAACAACCTGTCGGTATTTTATACCATTTTAATGTTCAAAGAAAATGTTATTTTAGAGCCAGGAATGTCTGCACTGTTCATTCTGGACCTTATTTTGAAATTGTCATATTTTTTAGTTTTCATGAAATTGGCCAAATTGCAAATTTCCAACCACGTTATTGGGTAGTTGAAATTGGTAAATGGGCAGTTTCTTGTACTCAATCGATAGAAAAACAGAGTTCTAAAGAAATAGCTATGAGTTTGGTCGACTGGAATAATGCAATTAGCTGAAAATAAGGCTCAAAGTGGGCGAAATCGCCGATTTGTAAATATCACCGAGGTCGCTACCTTCACAAGAGCGTAATTCCATCACTTTTCCATCAAATTTCGTTTTTCTGGTGTCATTACAATCGGGAAAAGATTCTCTATCATTTCATAAGAATTTTTTTTTTTTTTTTAAATTTTGCGACACCAGGAGACACCTCAGGATTGGGGGTTGCAACAGTCAAGGGGTTAAAGATAAGGTGGCTTTGAAGCTACTGTCGGTTGCCATGAGCTCAGTCTCATGATGCAGGAGAATATGCTTTATTATTATTATGCCTGCACTCTGAAGGAGGGGTGTTAATGTTGCAGTTTAAAAACTGTAGTGTATAGCACCCTTCTGGCAAGACAGTGATGGAGTGAATGATGGTGAAAGTTTTTCTTTTTCGGGCCACCCTGCCTTGGTGGGAATCAGCCAGTGTGTTAATAAAAAAAAAATAAATAATAATATCAACACTACAGCTTATTTGCCTATCACAATTGATCTAATATGACATAATAAACAATAGAAATAACATAAAACATGTCAAATACTCCAGAATAAATAATATTTGGCATAATACCGAGCAGTTCAACAAAGGTATGAAGAGGATATGGTATACAAATACCCTTCTCCTATCCCTGTCTTGGGGCTTATATTAGAGAAAACAGAGTATAGAACAGGGCTAACTGTGATATACACTCGTACTGCACTATAAACCTGAAACAAAAGTTATTTTCTCTATATAGATTATCACACACAGCAGCATATGTGTAGAGAACCTAGGATAACCCCAAAAAGTCAACGCGGCTTATTTCTAGTACCTGGCTTGGGTTAGACATACATGATTTTTGGTAAATATTCGATTCCCAGCCAGGGTAGAAACATTAGGCGTGTTTCTTTACACCTGTTGTTTATGTTCACCCATCAGTAAATGGGTACCTGGGTGTTAGTCGACTAGTGTGGGTGTTATCCTGGGACACTAACCTAATTTTCTTGAAATACTCTGCATAACAAGCGGCTTTCTATATAGTAGTATGTCACTGATGTCAGCTAGGCCTGTATACCTTGTACATGTACGTGTAGTAAATAAAGATACTATTATTATTATTATTTTCTCAGTTGTTTGTTGGGTTATCTTATTCAAACTTGGGCAATGTATGATGGAAAAATATTTCTTACCGTACACCAAAAATGAAAGAAACAGACCATAAATAGCGGAGTTCACTTCTCGGCCATTAGCGGCCGCTTAGCGGTATAATTTTTGTATGGTTTTTATGGTTATATTCTCATTTTTCGGTCTCATTTGATAGAATGAAAGATATATTACAGAAATAGATATGATTCTGATTGCTTTCATGACGAAAAATACCTTGAAATTGCGCTCACAGTAGCGAAAATGTTCTATTCTTTAGCGAAGCTCAAGAGTAAACAAATGACGTCACCGTCCAATACCTGTCCGCCTGCCGGTCCAATACGCAGTCAAGAATGGGTTGACATTATTTATACAATTATTACAATAATGCAGCAGTCTGCATAACAGTAAATCTTCTATTTTTTTTGTGAATAAAAATTCCAATGGTAAACAAGAGTAATATAAGAGGGGCCTGTAGCCATGACTAATGAACAGAGAAAATGCTATTTTAGTGCCAGGAATGTCTGCAGTGTTTATTCTGGACCCTATTTTGAAATTGGCATCTGTTGAAATTCGTGTGAAATTGGCCAAACTGCCAATTTCTGACCACTTTATTGGGTAGCTGAAATAAGTGAATGGGCAGTTTCTTGTACTCAGTTGACAGACTAGAAGTAAATAAGTTTATTCAGGTATACACAAATACAGTTACATAGATTATCATACATAGCAGTATATGTATAGAGAACCTAGGATAACCCAGAAAAGTCAGACAAAGTGACTTATTTTCAGTACCTGGCTTGGGCTTGCCATATATGATTTTTGGTAAATATTTCTTTTTTCTCGGTTGTTTGTTGGGCTATCTCATTGAAACTTGGGCAATGTATGATGGAAAGATGCTTCTTAACATACAACAAAAATAAAAAAGACGGACGATAAATAAGGGAGTTCACTTCTCATCCATTAGCCGCTTCTTTGCAGTATATTTTCGTATGGTTTTTATGGTTGTATTCTCATTTTTTTTATTCATTTGATAGAATGGAAGATATATTACAGAAATAGACATGATTTTGATTGTTTTCATGACGAAAAGTACCTTGAAATTGAGCTCAAAGTAGCGGAAATGTTCGACTTTTGCCAATGTTCAATGAACTTTGTGTAAGTCAAGTTGGTTAATTTTATTAAGTGTATTCTAACCTAACCACTCTGTAATCTGGCAAACTCAGTAATCCGGCACACTACAGGTCCCAATGATGCCGGATTTGTGATGGAGGACCTGTATATCTAATGTAAATTTTATTTATCCCATTTTACAGCAAACAATCATTGCTTACTGTTTGAAATTAGTAAATTTAGGTACAGGTACAAAAACACAGTTACACAAATATGTATGTATTACACACTATGTATGATAATTATCATATATAGTACTGTGTGTGTAAACTACCATGGATAACCCCCCAAAAAAGTCAGTGACTTATTTCCATAGGGGTACTCGAGTTCCATTGGGGTCCTTGATTTCCAATGTCTGTGTGTGTTTCCACTGTATCTTTGTGTGTTTCCACTGTGTGTGTGTGTGCTTCCACTGTCTATCGTCGCGTGTTTCCACTGTCGTCGTGTGTTTCCACTGCCTGTCATCATGTTTCCACTGCCTGTCGTTGCATGTTTCCATAGTCTGTCGTCATGTTTCCATTGTCTGTCGTCACGTGTTTCCATTGTCTGTCTTCATGTATTTCCACTGTCTGTCCCAGTCATTCTACTTTGTTCCATTCTCTCTAAATGAGCAAACCACCTCAAAAGCCCCTCCTCAGCTCTCTGACTAATAATTTTAGTAACTCCACACCTAATTTTCACACTATGAATTCTCTGCATAATATTTACACCGCACATTGCCTTCAGACACAAAATCTCCACTGCCTTTAGCTGCCTCCTCACTGCAGCATTTACAACCCAAGCTTCACACCCATATAAGAGTGTTGGTAACACTATAATCTCATACATTCCCTTCTTTGCCTCTATGGATAACATACTTTGTCTCCACAGATACCTCAATGCACCACTCACCGTTTTTTTCTTCATCAATTCTATGGTTTACCTCATCCTTCATAAACCCATCCACTGACAAGTCAACTCCAAATATCTGAAAACAGCCACTTCTTCCATACTCCCTCCCTCCAATGTGATATCCAATTTGATACCTTCATCGCCCTACTTTCAGCTACATTCACTTTCAATTTTCTACCTTTACACACCCTCCCAAACTTGTCCACTAACCTTTGCAACTTTTCTTTAGAATTCCCCAAAAGCACAGTATCATCAGCAAAAAGTAACTGTCAACTCCCATTTTGTATCTGATTCTCCATAATTTAATCCCACCATTCTCCCAAACACTCTAGCATTTACTTTTTTTACAACTCCATCTGTAAATATGTTAAACAACCATCGTGACATTACACATCCCTGTCTAAAACCTACTTCTACTGAGAAGGAATCCATCTATTTCTCTCTCTCTCTCTCTCCCTCTCTCTCTCACACACACACACACACACACACACACACGTATAGGAGAGAGGGAGATTCCTTCTCAGTAAAAGTAGGTCTTAGACAGGGATATGTATGTCACTGTGTATGTGTTCCATTTCTACAGTGTACTTCCTGATAATACTGGATGGCAATAATTTTACCAGGATAGAAAACTTGAACTGCTGTGAAGGATGGGACCCGGCAATACATGTACATTATTAAAGTTGTCTTGATGAAGACAACTTATGAAACATACTGAGTGGGGGTTTAATTCTTTTTAATGGGGAAAAAACAAAATACAAAGACACACCAAAAAAATTGCTCTTACTTGGGATGCAGCACGACCCCAATACATCAGCGCTCTTGCAAAACCTTCACCTTGTTTAAAGAGTTCGATTTCATGTCGATCGAGAATGAAAGCAGCATTACTTTGGGCTACCTCATAGCCTAATTCTGCTAACAACATGTAAGTGACTAGAGCTTGTGTATGTCGAGAGTCCCAATATGCTGCATGAGCCTCCATCAGCATTTCTCCCCAACGTCCTCGTTCTGCCACATTCTTGAACAACTGTAGTAACAACACAATTTTAATTTTCTATTCTTTTATATGCATATCTGAGATGCTCTATGGGCTGATAAGCAGCAATAAAAGAAGTTATGAATACAAGAAAAACTAAATGAATTAGATGAGAAAAAGATAAAAAATATTTTTACATATTTGGTATGAGAAAAATATTTTAATCTTAAAATAAGATGAAATACTGACACAGTGATAGCTGGGAAAATTCACAAGTTGCTGTGAATAAAAGATTTCAACATGCATAAAAATGGTTAGGCACAAAATTATGTCTATTCACTCCGAAATGTGATGACCTAGAAATTCTAATCCATTAAATGAAGATAACTTTCTTGGGGAATAACCTTAGACAAATGTTAATTGTTTTATTCTGCCACTTTTAGGTATTTATTGTACTGCACAGTACACATGATGAATGCAGTACAAATACAATTAGTTATTTCTTGTTATCAGAAACCAAATACTGTACCAAGAGACTGATTGCTTTCATAATTTTCAGGATTTTTGAGTTATTGTATAAAGGGTAGAAATAGTCAAAAAGAAAACTATGGTACATATTTATAAACCTGAATCCTTGTTCTTCAGTGGCCAGATGTTTCGTTCACAAATGAAAGAACCCCCTGTTTAATCCCCAGCGGAGGAAAGATGAATGGGCAAGTTTCCTTACATTGGCTGCCTCTCCTCACTTAGCAGGAGATAAACACCCAGAAATTATAAATGATGTGGGTTGCATCCTATAAAAAAGGCCCTAAAAAAACAACAGAAATAAACCATGCAGTTTACTTTTCTTAGGTTATGCTGGGTTATTAACCATTTTGGGATAATAGACTACATTGTCTGTCTTAAGAGAACTGAGTTTACTTCTAAAATTCCAAATATTTTAAACTATTAAAGACACTAAGAACTGATGGATACTCTATTCCCCATCCACATGCAAAACAGATAAACTATCTAACTGTACTGTGGCTACTTGCTTAGAGTGAGGAACGTGTGGACAGAAAGACTGACCTCAATATACACCAAAAAATCACAGCAGTGGCAATGAGGAAAATTGCAAGATACCCAGTGAATATGGCCAAAGATAAGAATCATCAATAGCAAAGTAAACATTCAACTTTGTGGGACTGGCAAAGTAGTCTAGATAGGAAAGCCATCCAATTATAGTTTACAGTCAGTTGGTTACCTTGAACCCGCACTCTCTCCAATATTTTTTGTCATCAAATTAAAAGTGCACATATTGTAACTATGTAATCATTAACACTAAGCCACTAACAATCCTATGAATTAAGAAACTTCAGTAAATCATATACTGTGCCATCATATTAAGAATTTCCACAATGATGTATAGAACTACACTTTTTTTTTTTTCATTATTTAACCAAACTATTCATACCAGTAGTCATCTGTTAAATTATTAAAATTAGTGATCTTGTTTCGACAACTTCTTACAACTGTATAAAGTTAAATCTTTCTGCTGAAATATTGCACAATGTTCTAGGATGTCACCATCTCTCACATACCTCAACACTAGTGTGGCACGATCTCACCATACCCGTCCCTGACGCTTGCATCTGTGCAAGGTTGTAAAAGGCCAAAACATTCCCTGACTGTGATGCCAAGTTGAAGTATTTGATGGCCATCTTATAGTCCCTTCGCACACCTAACCCACCTGAAGAAGAATGAATTTGATAAATGACAGTCTACAATTTTTTTACATTCAGTAGAATGCCTGTAGATACCTACAAAGATTGCTGTCTGCAGTTCAATTAGAATTTTTCACAGAAGAAATGTGCAAAATAAATAAAATAAATAAAATTAAATATATATATATATATATATATATATATAATAATATATATATATATATATATATATATATATATTTTATATATATATAATATACACACACACCACACTACCATCCGACTTACGACCGAGTTCGGTTCCGAGAAACCGGTCATAAGTCGAAATGGCCGTAAGTCGAACTTTACTATTGAATATCAACAAAACTTTTTGTAATGACTTTATTTTATTGTTTTATTTTGGTATTTCATGTTTTACTTTAATTTTTATGTTGTTAGTAACTGTATTTTATGCTGTAAGGTTAAGGATAAAACACTGTGTACAACACAAATAGTTGTTTATTTCCCAGAAATTTGGCATAAAAAACACGGTCGTAAGTCAAGCAGGTCGTAAGTCGGATGGTAGGTGTATGTATGTATGTATATATGTATATATATGTGTATATATATATATATATATATATATATATATATATATATATATATATATATATATATATATATATATATATATATATAGTACAGTGAACCCCGGTTTATGATATTATTTCATTCCAGAAGTATGTTCAGGTGCCATTACTGAACGAATTTGTTCCCATAAGGAATATTGTGAATTAGATTAGTCCATTTCAGACCTGGAGTTTACCTGGAGAGAGTTCCGGGGGTCAACGCCCCCGCGGCCCGGTCTGTGACCAGGCCTCCTGGTGGATCAGAGCCTGATCAACCAGGCTGTTACTGCTGGCTGCACGCAAACCAACGTACGAGCCACAGCCCAGCTGATCAGGAACTGACTTTAGGTGCTTGTCCAGTGCCAGCTTGAAGACTGCCAGGGGTCTGTTGGTAATCCCCCTTATGTATGCTGGGAGGCAGTTGAACAGTCTCAGGCCCCTGACACTTATTGTATGATCTCTTAACGTGCTAGTGACACCCCTGCTTTTCATTGGGGGGATGTTGCATCGTCTGCCAAGTCTTTTGCTTTCGTAGCGAGTGATTTTCGTGTGCAAGTTCGGTAACTATCCCCTCTAGGATTTTCCAGGTGTATATAATTCATTAATCTCACCCGCCTGCGTTCCCAGGGAAATACAGGTCCAGGAAACCTCAAGCCTCCAGTAATTGAAGGTGGTTTTCTCTCCGTTATGCGTGCCAAGTGGGAGGGAGGGGGTGAGGTGAAAGGTTCTCTCTACATTTTCTAGGTCAACAATTTCACTCTGCCTTGAAAGGTGCTGTTAGTGTGCAGCCAATATTCCAGCCTAATAGAACAATGACCAGAAAGTGATCATCATGGGCTTGGCAATCATCCTTGTTTTGAAGTTCCTCATTATCCATCCCTGTCATTTTCCTAGCAGATGCGATCGTACAATGTTATGGTCCTTGAAGGTGAGATCCCTGACATGATCACTCCCAGGTTCTTTGACGTTTTGGTGTTTTTCGCTCTAATTTTGTGGCCAGAATTGTTTTGTACCTCTGATGAAGATTTAATTTCCTCGCGTTTTACCACTATCTGAGTAATTAAATTCTCTCTTCAACGTTGAACTTCATATATGATTCTGCAGCCCACTGAAGATTTGTTGAGTCCGCCCTGGAGCCTTGCAGTGTTCTGCAATGGAAGACACGTCATTGCCAGATTCGGGTGTCATCTGCAAGGAAGAACACGTGCTGTGGCTGACATCCTTTTTATGTCAGATTATGAGATGATGAACAAGATGGAGCGAGTACTGGCCTTGTGGAACAGAGGCTTTTCACCGAGCCTGCCTCGGACTTTACTCTGTTGACTACTACTCTCTTGTTGTTCTGTTAGTGAGAAATTATGGGATCCCCATTGACACTTTCCTGTTATCCTTTAGCATGCATTTTGTGCCTATTACCCAGGGTCACGGACCTTGTCGAAGAGCTTTTTGCAAAGTCATGATATATTACAATCTGGCATTCTTTTTTTGTCTACTAGTGCATCCTAGATAACCTTGTACGTAGTGATCCAATAGTTGAGACAGGACAGAGCGACCTGTTCTACAAACCCATGATGCCCTGGGTTGTGTAACTGATTGGGTTTCTAGATGGTGGTGCTCTTGCTCTTAAGGACTCCTTTCAAAGATTTTATGATATGGGATGTTAGTGCTATCGGTCTGTAGTTCTTTGCTGTTGCTTTAACTGCCCCCTTTGAGGGAGTGGGGCCATGTCTGTTTTTTTAGTAACTGTACATGGACACACCCCCGTGGCTCCATGCTCCCTCTCCATAGGATGGTAAAGGCTCGTGATAGGGCTTCTTGCAGTTCCTTGATAAACACGGAGTTCCATGAGTCTGGCCCTGGGCGCATCCTGGCAATGTCATTTTATTTTCGAGCCCAGTTTTTCAAGTCATTTGGCGTCAGGATAACATCACATAGGCTTGTGTTAAACCAAATTTCTGTGGCTCTCTCATAAAAAATTCATTTTGATTTGACTCTCATCCGGGTGTAGTGGCTTGTAAAACTGAGTCAAATTGGGGACTTGAGTAGCTCACTCATTTCCTTGCTGTCATCTGTGTAGGAGACACCGTCATGTTTAAGTAAGGCCCATACTAACTGGGCCATTGTTCTCGACTTTGATTGGTAATTAGCAGAAGTACTTGGGTTTCTTTTCGATTCATTTATGCTTTTAGTTCTTCCCACGAATCCCTGACTCCTACTAAGATTCCTTTAGCTTAAGTTCGATGTTTTGCTATTTCTCTCCACTCCAGTGTCTCCCTACGCATTTCAGATATATTGAACCTCTTTTAGCCGCTCTGTTATTCTTTTCCGTTGCCTGTAAAGAGAGCGCCTGTCTCTTTCTATTTTAACATCTACTCCTCCTATTTCTTAAAGGAAAAGTCTTGTGCATACATCGAGTGCCACCAAGTTTAATCTTTTCTAGGCAATAAGTTGGGCTGGATGCTCAGTATATCTTCCCAGCTTTATTATCGTTTAAGGACTTGGTTTACCTTGGTCCCACTTTATTTTTTTGTTTTGAATTTGGTGAATGCTCCCTCGTGACTAATTCATTTTTGTCGGTCACATGGGGCTCTGCGCATACATGTCTGAACCTCACAATTATGTTGTGATCGAGATATATTGTTTTTTGATATGGTGACATTTCTTATCAATCAATCAATGTTATTGCAAATGAGGTCTAGTGGTATTCTCCACATTCTAGTAGGCTCTATTAATGCTGTTTAATGAATTTTGTGCAGAGATTTAAAAGCTCTTGAGTGTGAGTTTTTCATCAGAGCTGCTCCCTGGTGTTATTTACTGCAACAATATTATTTGCTATATTCCCTCCATTTTAGGTGACCTTAAGTTGAAATCCCCCAGGAGCAAGATGTTGGTGCAGGGAGCTGAAGATTTTCCAGACAGTGGGTCAATTTTTTAAAAAACAGCTGTTCCTGGAAATTGGCTGGGATGTTGCATCCCGTAGGCTTGTAGACTACCACAATGACTAGTTTTGGTTCTCGACATTTACATGCTAAAACTTCCACTACATCATTTGAGCATTAAGCAGGTTCTGTGCAAACAAGTGACTCTGCAATGGTACAGGCCATCCCCCCTTCTTGCCTGTTCACTCTGTCACAATCTGTAATAGGTTGTAACCTGGGATCCATATTTCGTTTGTTCTAAGTGACCTTTATGTGGGTCCTCAGTGAAAGCCGCGAACATTGCCTTTCCTCTGCAAGCAGTCCACGGATGAAAGGTATTTTGTTTGTTTGTTGCTGGCTTAGGACGCCTGTAATATTTGTAAAAAAAAGAAGAATGTCATCCGACTGTGGTATTGTTGTACTGGGGGGGATTTCTTTTCCGGCAATTAGTATCTGTTCTGTTGGATTTGGAGTGAGGCCATCGAACTGTTTACCTGGAGTTTTACCTGAGAGAGTTCGGGGGTCAACGCCCCCGCGCCCGGTCTGTGACCAGCCTGTGGTTCCCTCAGAATGAACTGGAATTTGTGTACAAAACATACATGTACAAACGCACTTACATAAATACACTTTACATAATTGGTCGCATTGTAGGTGAGTATCGTAAACACGGGGTCCACTGTATATATATATTTTTTTTCAAAAGTCGGGCCCGTCGGCCGTCTCCCACCGAGGCAGAGGTGACCCAAAAAAGAAAGAAAATCCCCAAAAAGGAAAATACTTTTTCATCATCATTTTAACACTTTCACCACACTCACACATTATCACTTTGAAGAGGTGCTCAGAATACAACATTTTTACCAAGCATATACGTATAAAGATCCACAACATATCCCCTCCAAACGCCAATATCCAAACCCTCTTTAAAGTGAGGCATGAACTTCCCATTTTTCCAGGATTCAAGTCCACATATGATAATAACCAGTTTCCCTGAATCCCTTCACTAATTATTACCCTGCTCACACTCCAACAGATCGTCAGGTCCCAAGTACCATTTGTCTCCATTTCATTCCTATCTAACACGCTCACGCACGCTTGCTGGGAAGTCCAAGCCCCTTGCCCCACAAAACCTCCTTTACCCTCTCTCTCAACCCTTTCGAGGACACCCCTACCCAGCCTTCCTTTCCCCTATAAGATTTATATGCTTTCCATTTCATTCTACTTTGATCCATCTCTCTAAATACCAAACCACTCAACAACCCATCTTCCTTTCTGTCCTCTGACCAATACTTTTATTATCCACACCTTCTCCTAATTTTCCCACTCCCGAATTTCTGCATAATATTTACAACCACAATAGCCTTAGACAGGACATCCCACTGCCTCCAACCGTCACCTCGCGAGCTGCATTTACCACACCCCAAGCTTCAACATCCATAAAGAGTGTTGGAACAAACTATACATTCATATATACATTCCCTTCTTTGCCTCCATAGACAACGT